ACTAGCTGGGCACCCTCAATCCTAGACACTATACAACTGCTGATTGACAAATCCACAGTATTCTTTCCCATAGCGCTTTTTCCAGTCCAGCCATGCCAGCTTCTCTGTCCAGGGATGACTCCCTGCCATGGCTCCAGTCCCCACCCTGCCAGCCCTCTACTCCTAGCAGAAATATATTTATTCCAATCTCCACTTAAACATCATTCATGCACAGAATTATCATTTCTTTAATAAGCCTGTTAGGAGCTGAACAAGGTTCTTGCCACCTAAGTAAGGGAAGAGGAAGGAAGGTGAGAGCCACAGGGCACAGGTTGGGCAGGGGCTGTGGGGATGGCTGCCTAGGCAAGCCTGAGCCRCCCAGGTGCCTTGCTGAACCTCAGTTCTTCTCCCCTTGTAGGGTGCCTTCCAATACTGCAGACTTGAAGGAGCACAGTGACATTTCTCAGACTCCCTGAAGCGAGGGTCTGGATGCAAACTGGCTTCTCCAACGAGCTGTGGATGGGAGAGGAGAGGTCATCACCATCCTCCTTTTCCTTTGGGCTGTGGGGAGATAAGATTTTCTCCTGGAGCAGTTGTGTAGGTGATGGGAGGCTGTTGGGGCAGCATCCCCACATTGCAGCCCTGAAGGGTGGGGTGCCAATGACCATCGCCTCAGAGGCAGGGGCCCCCCTGTGGGTCAGCTCTTTAGAATCCAGAGCCCAGGCTGGAGACTGCTCCTCTCCCTCCCAACACAGTTATAGCACCTGCTTAAGTCCTGTTCTGACTAAAGCATCCATGGCAGTGTCTATTTCCTGTCTGGAATCCAGCAACAAGAGTCTGAGGGCTGCAGAGTAACAATCATAACTCACCAGAAACAAGGACAGGGATCCACAGGCTAACAAGGAGACACCTGGGAGGGACAAGTGTGGGTAGCATTCATGAGGCTCCGTTGCCCAGTCCAGCCTTGGATTTGCTAACATCTGGCCAACCAAGAGAGGACTAATGATAACAATCTTGCCACTCCCGGAGGACTCACATATGTGGGCATTTTTCTAAGTACTTTAAGTTTTAACTGATTTATTCCTCATAACAACCTCAAGAGCCAAGTACAGCTGCCCCTCCCCCACACTGTACAGAAGATGCTGAGGGCATGCTCAAGGTCATCTTGGGAGGACACAGTGCAACCAGGCCTGATGGGCTGTGGAGCTGAGCCCCCTCTCTTAGCCATGTGAGCTCGGGCAGCCTCTGGGAACAGCCACCCTTTAAAGAGTGATGTGTGCCAAGTGCTAATCTCTCCTTCACTCCTCAAAGGAATCCAAAAGGAAGAGCGACACCATTCCTGAGGAAACCGAGGCCCAAGGTTAGGGATCCGCCCATGTCACAGAGTCAATAAGTGACGTGTTTTCTGGATTCCACCACCCAGTGCTTGTGACGGCTGTTTCAGGGTCTGAGTGGAAAGTTCTTTGGCCAGGGAGAAGCTAGTGCTGGTTCTCAGCTTGTCTGAAGGGCAAGGGCAAGGGCAAGGGTCTGAGATGGATACTGCCAGAGCCCAGGAGCATCTTTCTGCTTCTCTCCTCAACTTTGGTGCCCACCTACCCACCTGCCCACCAGTCACTGTCCACAACTCCCGCTGGCTTGGTGGTTCCTTCGTGGTGATGGCTGCTGCTGTCCTCTTTGTCTGTGATGGTGCAGACATCCGTCTTCCCAACCTCTGCCTGGCCGGCCACACTCACAGGTGCCATGGTGCTGTCACTGCAGGGCAGGACAGCCACTTTCTTCCCTTTGAGAAGGGAAACTTCTGGTCACTTTCCAAAGTTCATCCTTTTTTCTCTTGCCTCATTCAACAAACAGAACAGTCAGTATTCTGCTTCTGAGCTAAAGGCTCCCATATTATATTCCTTTTCTGACTCACCTCCCACTGCCTCTGAGATGCTCCAGAACCCAGACTGCCTCCAGCTCTGGCTCTGCAGCCTGGCCTTTCCTTGAGAATCTGAGTTATTTAGCAGGACTCCTCTAGCGTGGCAGTGCTCTGAACAGACTTCCTCTGCTCACTCTGAGCCGCTACCCTGCCTCACTCCACACAAGGGTTAATCTGAGCTGATGTCCCCACCTGTCCTGCAAAAAACCTCATGTTCTTCTCACAAACTCTCCCCTGACTTCACCCAGAGAGGTCTGGCTCTTGGTCCAATGGCTACACCCCTTGGAATAAAGAATGCAGTTAAAAGAATGCAGTTATTCTTTGTCACTAGTGCCTGGAAAAATCCTAAATCCATGGGATTTCCTGAGCAATAGGCCTATCTTTGTTATTCATGGTGGGACCTGATCATTTGCGCCAGTCAAGAGACTCCTCATGGACCCCAAGATACTTTTTGCTAATGAGACGAATCAGGATGAGATTGGCCACACCACTGAGAGACTATGGTCTTGGCTTGGCCTCTGCCAGTGGAGGGGTCCCAGAGAATGGATTCAACTGAGTGACCAGTGGTTCAATCAACCATGCCTGCACAGCACAACCCCAGGAAAAACTCTGGATACCAACACTTAGGGGAGTCTCCCTGATTCGGAAATACTCTGAATTCTGTCACACACTGAGGAGCTGAGAAAGTGAGGCTCTGGGACTTCATGGGGGAGAAGATAATGGAAGCTGAGTTTGGGTCCCTCCTAGACTTCACCCTCCACTTCTCCTCTTTGGGCTTGTTCTCATTTACATTTTTTGTTCTAAAGAAAAAAAAAATTGTGCCAGGTGCAGTGGTGCACGCCTGTAATCCCAGCAGCTCGGAGGGTGAGGCAGGAGGATTGCAAGTTCAAAGCCAGCCTCAGCAACTTAGGACCTAAACAACTCAGTGAGACCCTGTCTCTAAAAAAAATACAACAAAGGGCTGGGGATGTGTCTCAGTGATTGAGCACTCCTGAGTTCAATCTCCAGTAAAGAAAAGGAAAGAAAGAAAGAAAGAAAGAAAGAAAGAAAGAAAGAAAGAAAGAAAGAAAGAAAGAAAGAAAGAAAGAAAGGAAGAAAGAAAAGAAAAGAAATTATGACTTTATGTAGCACTTTCATGATTCCCTGAGTCATTCTAGCAAATTACTGAACCTGAGAGCATAGTGGGAACCCCCAAATTTGTAGCCAGATGATCAGAAGTGAAGGTGGGATGAGGTCTCCCAAATTTGCAACCAGTATCTGCAGGAGGGTGGTCTTGTGGAAGGCTGTGCCTTTAACTGTGAATTGTGGCACAACTGCAGGAAGCTGACGTCAGAAATCATAGCACCGAGTTTAGCAACGTCATTGCATGGTCCCAAGAGAAGGATCCTGAACAAGGTCTAAGGATCCTCCTGACACATTTTCCAGAGTCTCAATTTCACAGAACCTGAGACACTGCAATAAGTTCCAAAGCTGCATGTGCACAACAGAACGCTATTTAGCCTTAATAAAGAAGGCTACTGGGACACCTGTGACAACGTGGATGACCTGGGAGGATGTCATGCTTAGGGAAATAAGCCAGGCCCAGGACAAATACCACATGATCTCCTTTACTTGTGGAATCTAAAAAGTTAAACTGACAGACACAGAGTAGAATGGTGGTCAGCAGGAGGAGAGAGAGGGAAGGCAGGGGCGATATTGGTCAAAACATACAAAATATCTCTTATACTTAATAACAATGCATTGTATTTTTTATATTTATTTTTTAGTTGTAGTTGAACACAATACATTTATTTTATTTACTTATCTTTATGTGGTGCTGAGGATCGAACCCAGGGCCTCGAATGTGCTAGGCAAGTGCTCTACTGCTGAGCCACAACCCCAGCCCCAATGCATTGTATTCTTAAAAATCATGGACCATAGGTAGATTTGAAGTGTTCTCACCACAAATGAATACTGTGTTGATTGCGTGCTTAAGCAATTCCACAATACAYACATTTTTTWAAAAAAATATTCAGAAGCCCATCTGAACAACTCAGTGAGACCCTGTCTCAAAATAAAAATAAAAAAGTGCCAGGAGGTAGCCCGTGGTAGAGCGCTTGCCTCACATGTGCAAGGCACTGGGTTTGGTCTCTAGCATCACAAAAAATCGAAACAACAATTTCATATGCCATAAATACACGATTTTTGTCTTTAGGCTGACTAACAGCGTGAGACAATGTTCACCTCACCAGAGCCACAAGAATTAGATTAAGACAGCATGTGGGTGATGGGGTATTCACAAAGAGAACTGATGGGTGACTTGGAAGATTATAGTCCCTTTTCCTAAGTAGCTGGGAAAGTGTTCAAGTTTCTCTTATAAAGTGGTCACTCCTGAAGCCTCAGGATAGACAACCTTCAACCTTGCCCATGGCCTTCTTCTTGGTATAGACCTTAAAGGACCTGGTGGGACCCAMCCTGGGCCCCACCTGATGTTACTTGTCCCTCACTGAAGACATCCACTTGCAAAAACAGCAGGTGCTATACTAGGACAGGAGAAGGCCTGGGCCTGTTATTCTTCCACTCAGAGAAGAACCCAGGTCAGCTTTCCCATGACAGGAGAGTTTCCAAGATTCCCCCCATACCTGGAAGAAGCCAGGTAGAAACACCATGCAAGTCAAACTTTCCTGACATTACTCGATCTTTCCCCAGGAGGATGGCACTAAYACAAATTCGGACACCTGTGGCCTCTTCCTTCTATGCAAAGTAAAAAGCCAGCAACCACCCCAAGCTGATAAGATTAATCTACAGAGCAAATTATGGTGTAATTTCCTATGCTGAAACTTTGTAGTTAATTTTAAAAAAAGGTTTCATTTTCCTACTGGTCTGATTTCACAGGAACATTTTACCTGTTTTTATGAAGTATTTTTTCTCCTGGAAGAGAGGCGCTGATTGGCCTCAAATAACTGACAATCTGGTGTAACGAAAATTTCCAATGTAAACTTATTTTCCTTTGGTTTCAGCAATTTTAAATCTATATATAGAGATATGTTTGTCAGAATTGCATTGTTAGCCTCCCCTGATAAACTAATCGTCTCACACTGTCACTGCCAAAAGACACCTATTGATGGGTCTCACCCCCCTGCTGATTGCCACTCTCTTCTGTCTCCTAGTATGCCCTGGCAACTTCACCCACGGATGCGACGTTACCTTAGAAGAGATCATCAAAACTTTGAACACACTCTCAGGGAAAAAGGTGAGTAGCCTATCTGGTACCATCTCTCCAGATGTTCTGGTGATGCCGTGGGTAGTTCCAGATCATGAGAAAGACATAGTTTGTGGGAGAAATTGATAGTGGATGTTGGTGGCCAGGCAGGGAGCATAGCAAGACTTTTCCCTGGCACTTTCTTCTGGGGAAGTCTGGGAAGTTTTCCCAATGTGAGGGAGTGGGAAATGCTTATGAGGGATTTCTCTGTCCTGTCGGAGGCTAACTCTGTCTCTTGCTCTCTCGTTCCTCCTTGTGCCAAAGACTACATGCATGGAGCTGATGGTAGCAGACGTCTTTGCTGTCCCCAAGGTAAGAGGCTGTTCCATGGTCTGCTTTGGCAGATGAGTGACTTGGGAGAGGAGGGCTATCCACAAAAGTTTGAATGGAATATTTCTTTAATGAAAAATGAACAGGCGCAAATTAATTATAGGGTGTTAAATGTTTTCATATAATCGGAATTCTGATTTTTTACTCTTAAGCATGTTTTGAAGTTTTCGGTTTCACTTGTTTTAGAAGATAYCTAATAGAAAACTTGAAGTTTGTAATCCTAATTCAGATCTTGTCAAAGAAAAGCTCTCTAGGATTTAACTCAGCATTGGGTATAATACCTGGAACACAGGAGGCACTCAATACATGCCTGCTGAATGGGAGAACTTTTTTTTTGGCCCATGCAGTTTTGAGAACCAAATACTCTCACAAAAACAGATATTGAGATTACAGGTTGAGGGCGCTTTCACTTTGTCTAAGAGACTTCCTATGGCAACAGAGAAGGTATTGCCAGAGCCCCTTCTCTCTCACAGCCTGGTCACCTAGCAGTCTGCTGGGATCTGGGGATGGCTCTCCAAAGACCTCAGCTTGCTTGGTCCTGCCAAAGCTCCTGCAGCCTGGTCTACCTCCATCCTGCCAGATAGAGTCCAACATATTCCTGCTTCTTACTGCTTGGGCATCTCGCCTTTCTGCCTCCTGCAGTCTCACCACCCCCCATCTGTAGTGGGAGGAGATAGATGTGACAGCTGATAGTGCATTTTCTCTGACAAACACATGACTATAGCCATATCAATAGCTTTGTGCACTTCAGTTCCTGTTTTCATGGAAACACACAACTGAGAAGGAAAGCCCCAAAGCCTCAATTCACCAGTGGTCCCTTAGCTACCTGCTTGCCATGTGAACTAAGGGCTGACTTGGCCAGCAGGGAAGCCCCTGTTCAGCACCCAGGCCATGAACAGGGCCCCTCCTACTCCACAAGGAAAACTCTTCTTCAGCTTTTTATCTGGACTATCGCATTTCACTAAAGATTATTCTGAACTCTGATGCAGGATAAGATTCTGAAGGATAATATATATATATACACACACACACACACACACACACACACACACACACACATATATATATATTTACACACACACATATATATATGTACACACATATATGTAATTTTATATATATATATATAAAATCTCTAAGTCCTTCCAACCCATATGGTACCCACTGGAAGCCAAGAGTCCCTGGATTGTGCCTTGGGTTCTCCCATGGCCTGCTGCATATGGAGAGGGCTGTACCAAAGCCAAGGAAAGGGACCAGCTCATCAGCATCTGGCCCTCATGGAGGTAGGAGGGTCTGGAAGTGAGAGAGCCTGAGATTTTAGCCTCAATTCTGCCATTAACTATCTGTATGGCCTGTGACAAGTCTTCACACCTCTCAGAGCCTCAGCTTCCACATTTAAGGATATGAAAGTGATCTTGAAGGTGATTTGAAGGTTGATTGGAATGTAGCTCTTGAGTTAGTGGAGAGGGTTAATATAAGATAATATAACCGTGATTAAAGTCACAGATTGGGTTGTAGAGAAGTGATGATTCTGAGGAGGTCCAGCAGTTGGAAAAAACTTAAAATATAATCTGCACTTCTGAGGAGGTCCAGCAGTCACAGGAGGTCCCCCTGTGATTCTGGACTGCATCTAGATGACCCCTCCCCACCTGCTGACTCCTAGTTCTCACACACAGGGTGTCTTGTGTGGCTGCTTTCTTGCTAACCCATCTCACAGCCTTACCCCAGACTGTGTCTTGTCCTGCTGGAATTGACAACCTCACTTTTCCATTCTTTTCTTTCCCTCAGACACTCAGCACTGCCTACTTATATATTAAGATGTTTCTGAGTGGAGAAAGAGTATTATTTTCAAAATCCCACAAAGTAGTATATGGTAGGAAAAGCTACTTCTTTGTGTTCCCCAAACATAATATCTTTCTAAAACCAAGCATATTCATTTGATTTCTTTTGGGAATCAAGAATTCCAGTAGTTTGGCCAGGTGTGATGGTGCACACCTGTAATTCCAGCAACTCAAAAGGCTAACGCAAGAGGATCGGAAGTTCAAAGTCAAACTCAGCAACTTAATGAGGTGCTAAGCAACTTAGAGAGACCATATCTCAAAATAAATAAATAAAAGGACTGAAGATGTAGCTCAGTGGAAAAGTGCCCTTGGGGCCAGTGGTCACATTTTGAGTCTCTTTTTTAGCAGGTCTGAGCTACAAAGTGTGCTGGGTTGTCAAAGTATGCTCTGTGAGCCACTGCCAGACCCACTGAGGCAGGAAGTTCCACAGGCAGATGACAAGAAGTCAGGGATGGGGTGGAGTGTTGTTCTTTGGCGGCAAAACCAATAAGCTAAACTTTTAAGGTCTTTAACCAAAACTGCCTTTAGAATTAGTTCCTTTAAAATTTTTCCATTTGATGCAGATTCTTTTCAATTACAATTTTATCTTAATTACTTTTAGAAAGTTCTTTGAAAAATATTGTTAGAGGGTTTTTTTTTTCCTATATGATGTAGCTATAGACTGATTTAAACTAATAGGCAGTTTAATTCCCAGGTTCCAAGCCAAAGTTCCAGAAAAGTCTCACTAGGTTTTGATGAGGAAATAAGCAGAGGGGCTCTTCTTTCTGCCCYCTCGGATCTCAGGTTCTCTCTTCAGCAGCAAGGGTCTTGCCCCTCCTTGCTCACCACACAGCCCGGAGCCCCTGGCACTGCTCTCAGTTGGCAACTAGAGTCAGAGACCAGGAGTGACTTGCAGCTGGTTAACTAAGGGTTCTTCCATCTGCCTGCCCCTGGGACCCCAACCCCCACGTGGGAAAGGAGAAGCCTGTGTAGTCTGGGGTTCTGGTGCCTCAGTCTGGTTCTAAGTCTTCTTGGAAAAACCTTAAAATATAATCTGCACTTCTAGAATTTAGTCTTCAGAAATGAGATGAATGCAGAATCACTCACTGCTACATTATTTACAGAAGCAAAAAACCTGCTACCTTAGAAGATTGACAAATCATGGTACAAATACATGGGAACAGTGGGTTCCTATGTAGTTCTCGGTCCCACTTATTTTTTTTTTATGCAGTACTGGGGTTTGAATCTGGGAGTTCTTCACCAATGAGATTCATCTCGAGTCCTTTTTGTTTTTATATTTTAAATTTTGAGACAGGGCCTCACCAAGTTGCTCAGGCTGATCTCCGTCTTTCTATCCTCTTTCTTTGGCCTCCCAAATCGCTGGGATTACAGGCATGTGTCAGCGCACCTTTCCTAATCCCACTTTCTTAAAAGACTTAAATGGCTTCAGAAAGTGTTTTTAGTGTATGTTGTGTGAAAAGATTATGAAACAGTTAGTTCCTATTTGGGGAAAAATGTGTTTTAAAAAAACCTGGGAAGATATTTACCAAAATATATTAGTAGTTATATCTGGCTGGTGGGTTGAATGAATTTAATTTTGTTAATGAATGAGGTAATGTTACATTACCTTGATAATTAGGGGGGTAAACACAACTGTAAGAACTCAGATGCTTCTCATGTAAATTCCGAGGGGATCTTGTCATCGCCCACTCTGACTCAGTGGGTCCAGGGTAGGGGACGGGAGTTGTGTTTCTAAAAAGTTCCCAGGTGATGTTCATGCTGCTGGTTTGGGGACCGMACTTTGAGTAACAGGGGCCCCAGGCATGTCCTGGCAGAAGCTAGAAGCAGCTTTTCATCAGACTTGGATAAAGAAACTGGGCCCAAGCTAAGACCACTCTGGGCTCTGTGCCTGTGTTCTTTAATGGAAAATGGGAGAACACTCAGGCCTGGTATAGACTAAAACACAGTTCCTCTCCCAGGTTCCCAGCAAGAGCTTCTGTGCTGCTTGTACATTCCCTTTTCTAAGGCTCAATGTCCCCAAGAAGAGCCATGTGGCCAGACCCACATCAGCACTGCCAGCATCCACTCTATACCATTTTATGCCCAAGCCTTGTTATAGCAACTCTTTCCAAGTCCTAGCTCAATGGTGTCTTTCCAAGAAGCCTCCCTGATCTCCCCAGACCAGACTCCTGGGCACCTTTCCCAGAACTGGGCACCTACCTCATGCTGCCTGGGGACATGCCTGAACTCCTCACTTGGACCATGCCTTTTACACACACGCTCTATCTYACAGGGAGGGTCACGTGGAAAAGGCTATGCAGTGCAGGCCAAGGACAGGCATTTGTTTATCCAACAGGTATGTTGGATTCCAGGGAAAGCTGGATTTTAACCCCTTGTAAGAATGAAAGCACCTAAGAGCTCACGTGGGCATTTCTCATGGTGCATAGACGCGGCACCAGATGGCCCTGCATTCAAATCCCCACTGCCATATACCTACTTGGTGACTTTATTCAGGTACCCCATCAGCAAAACTTTCCAAGGGAAGAGAAACTTGGAGGTTCAGAGGAGAAGGTTGCTGCATCTCCAGGTAATAAATAGAGGTTCTTTATAGAGATTTATGACTGACACCAGCCTTTATTCATGTCACAGAAAGACTTGAATGTAGCTCCACAGTTGAGCAAATTCATCTCCATGTGTTTTCCTAGGAGGAGGAAACAAGGAGGAAAAATCTCTCTCCCATGCTCAGAATAGTGTAGCACATGGCTCATCTAGGCCATTTCTTGTTCTAGAACACAACCGAGAAGGAAATCCTCTGCAGGGCTACAACTGTGCTTCGGCAGACCTATCAAGACCACCCGGTGTCTAGGTGTTTGAACAAAAATGGAAAACTTGACATTCTCAAGCTCCTGAGAGGACTCTACAGGAATCTCCGAAGCATGGTCCAGTTGGTAAGCTACACTGTCCTACTGGCGGGTTTAGATTGTAGCTGCTGGTGGACAGCAGCCTCTCTTGTAAATGACTCTCCTTATTAGTTGTAATGCCCTTGATTAATGAACCCATTCATTCAGCAAGTATTTGTTGAGGCTTTACAAGTGCCAGGTGCTGGCCTAGGCACTGGGGATAAAGTGTTAAAGATCGGGGGGCAGAGTAGGGACTCATGAAATATTCTAGTGGGGAATTAGACAAAAGAATCAGATGTAATCAGATGTCTGGTTGTAATACTGGCTATGAACGAAAATATAGGAATAAAGAACATAGGTCATAGGAGGGGGGTTAATTTAGGAGTCAGTGATATATTCTGAGCAGATACTTGAATTAAGTGCGGGAACAGGCCACATGTCTTACATACAGAAGGAATAGCTCTTCAAAGGCCCTAAGGTGAAAATAAGCTTCAAGTGTGGCTGCAGCAGAGCAAGCGAGGGAGGTTTACTAGATCAGCTCACACAGGCCTTTGGATCCTGCCCCAGGTATGGTGGAAACACCTGTACGGGTTCAGGCAGGTCACTCTGGCTCCCATGTGAATACACTTGAGTAGGAAGTGAAGAACCAAGGGACTGCTGAGAGGCTGCCACAGTAGACCAGGCTGAGACCAGAGAGGTGGTTCGATGTGGGGTATAATGAAAAATAGACCCCAAAGGATTTGCTGACAGGTCAATTGTGAGGGTTGGGGGAAAGAAGTAAAAGGTACCCTCTTGTTCCCCGCCTGAACTCCTTTGGGGATTTATAGAGACATGGAAGACCTGGGGCAAAGCAGGGTTGGAGACTGAGCAGAGAAAGAGTTCAACATTGTTCATAATGAATGCAAGGTACCGAGTAGAGGATATGGCTCAGAGGTAGAGTACTTGCCTAGCATGTGCAGGGTCCTGGGTTCAAACCCCAGTACTATGCCTCATCCCCCCCAAAACTGAGTGGATAACAAAGTGGAAATGGTTAAAAAGGCTGGAGCTTAGGGGAGAAGTCAGAGCTCATAACATAAAATGGAGAGTCCTCTGATAAGTGCTAAAGTACAAATGAAAGAAAATAGAGAAAGCAAGAGATCCAAGGCCCCATTCCAGAGGCGTATATAGAGGTCAGGGAAGAGGAGGACTGAAGACTATCACCAGTGAAGTGGGAGAAAATCAGAGTGTGGTTTCAGCCCTGAAGGGAAATGAAAAAACCCCTGAGCAGGGGATGGACCATGTTCAACATCCTGACAAATCAAGTGAGATGGAGGGAGGGTGATGGCCACAGGTCTGGTGTGATGGAGGCCATCAGTGATGCTTATGTAAATGGAGAGGAGGGATGAAAGCCCACCTGGAGTAAGCTCAGTAGAGCATGGGTGGGCAGAGGTAATAAAGAAGGCACAGTGTGTACGGAAAACTCTTTTGGGGTGTTTTGCTATAAGGTTGCAGAGAAATGGAATCGCAGTTGAAGGGCAGTTGCAGAATGAGGAAGGTTCTTGAAGGTGGGGTCTGTTCAGCATGTTAGTATCCCAATGGGAATAATCCAGTAAGAAGAGAGAATGGATGCCACAGGAAAGATGGAGAGTAGGGCCAGAAGTCTTGCAGCCACGGTGGGTGTTGTCTAACGCCAAGTGGAGGACCTGGCTTTCGAGAAGGGCAGGGACATTCATCCCCACACTGCCTACTGCTGCATTTCAAAGGAAAGCTAATGAATAGGAGCTGGCACAACACACATTTTCTTTTAATTCTCTTAATTAATTTATGAATTAAGCACTATTGTCTCCACCTTACAAAAGGAGGAACTGAAGCTTTTATAAATTAAGTCGTTTGTCCTAAGCTATGCAATTAATAAGTGGTAGAGCTGAGATTCATACTGGACTGGAGGCTGAGTGGTAGAACAGCTACAGCTGTTCCATGGGCAGGAGGGTAACATGACATGTCTCGTCACCGTCCAGGTGGCCAGGCAGTGGCACCGGGCACGTCACATTACTCTCTCTGAGCCTCTGCTAGCTGTGGCACACTGTCCAGAGACTGTTGCACACCCTGAAGGCAGGCAGGGGTTGGTGCTACAGTAACCAGCTCTGGAAGTGGAAGTAGCATCCTGCTGGACTCCCAATCAAGCTAGAAGACAGGAGGTCTCAGTTTGCCAATTGTTCAGGCCACGTGAGCTTGACCAAGCAGACAGACACAGTGGAGAGACTTGGATGCCTACTCATGCAAGCTAATGTAATGTTTCTTTTGTAGCACAACTGTCCCGTGAGTGAATCCAAGCAGAGAACATTGAAAGACTTCTTGGAAAGCCTAAAAAGCACCATGCAAAAGAAATATTCACAGTGTGGAAGGTCCAAGTTTTAATTTATAAGTTTTTAATGGCTTTATTTTAAAAATATTTATATATTTATAATTCATTATAAAATAAAGTATATGTAAAACCTAAAATGATGTTTAATGGTATTGGCTATGTTTACTCAGCAAATGAAGTTATGGTTTGCAACTTTTAGGGAAACTGATTTAATTTTTACTGAAAAGCAACAAATGGTATAGCAACAGACCACTTTCTTTTCAAGGAGTTCCCTGTCTAATTGGGGACATAAGGCACAAGATAGCTAAAGAATAAAAGGTCACACGAGATATAAGTGATTAGAGTGAGTCTATGATTCCTCCTGACTACCACATTTTTCTGAGTCACAAAAGTATCAAAGGGATGCTTAGAACATTCTTCTCCCATTGGGACAAGGAGCATTTTATTGAATCTGTAGGAAAAACAAGTAATCCTTACACAATATATGGCTCTGAGGTGAATAATAAAGTCATAATAATGCACTCTCTTGATTTTCAAATCCAAGAACCAACCAACAGACAAAGCCCAGAAGTTATGGTTAGAGAACAGGCTCTACCTGACAACACAAAAGGCATAGCCCAACATGGTCAGAGCAGAAGCAAAGAAAGAGGTGCAGCACTAACACCCCCAGYCTCAGCAGGGAGGGGCTCAGTTAAACAATAATAAAGTTGATGGAACCAGACCAAGAGATTAAGGTGCTCAAAACTGCAGASATAATAGAACTAAAAATAATTTACTCAAAAAAATTTGGAAAGGAAGTCAGGCATGGTGGTGCATCCCTGTGGTTCAGCTCCTCAAAGTCTGAAGAGGGATGATCACTTGAGCCCAGCCTGGGCAACACGGTGAGATCCCATCTCAAAAACAAAACAAAAGCAAACAGAAAAATACTTGGAAGGGATAAATTAGGGGTAAAGCCTCATTCTTTCAATGGGGGAAATATATAATATTTGAAGTTGACAAAAATAGAAAGAGTGGTCCTAGGTTGACAATTGTCGTAGCTGGGGATGGGGATATGGGTCTGCTTTTAAATCTACTTGAAATTTTTGTTTAAAAAAGTGAAAAAAAAAACAATAATGAATCAAGAAATCTTTGGATTATGATGATAACCACTAGAACAGAAACAAAGGTAGGATGGTTCGCTTGGAAAGCTATTCAGATGGGAGACTATTGCCTTTCGTGTGTGTGTGTGTGTGTGTGTGTGTGTGTATGTGCATGCATATACATAAATGATTGCATGTATTTTAAAATAGAAGAAGAAATAAAAACCTAACAATAACTAGTGTGGGAGAAAATGTGGAAAAACTGGAACACATAGCTGGTGTGATTGGAAAGTGCTGTGGCCACTTTGGAAAACAGTTTGGCAGTTCATCAAATGCTTAAACCTAGTTGATGGGCTAGCAATTTCAATCCTATACCTCCCCCAGAGACCTGAAAACATATGTCCACACAAATTCCTCTACACAAATATTCACAGTAACATTATTAACAGCAGCAAAAGGGTAGAAGTAACCCAAATGCCATCAACTGAGGAATGAATAAGCAAAATGTGATATATCCATACAATGGAAGATTATTTGATGATAAAAAGAAATGAAGTACTGAGACATGCCCAAAATGGATAAACTCTGGAAACGTTACGTCAAGTGAAAGTCGCCCAGGTCCAGAAGGCCATGCCTGGTAAGATTCTAATTATACAGAACAGGAAAATACACAGTGGCAAATAGGAGGTGGAGCAGTAGATGGAAGAAGGGGGAGTGACTGCTAACAGGTATGGAGTTTCTCTGGGGGGTGATGATGATGTTCTGATTTAAGACAGTGGTATAGGATGTACAATTCAATAATAGAATAATAAAAACCACTGAAAATGTGAATTATATCCCAACAAAGTTCTTTATTTAAAGAAATTAAAGGGAGAGAAAAACAAAATCAAGTGTCAAGACATCAAAATTTTCCTTYTGATGCATTCGTTGCAAGAGTATGGAACTTGTAACAGTGATTGAGTGCTTTTCATCCTCGCTTACACATGTGACAAAATTAATACTAGTTCTAAAATTACACCAAAATATACAACATCTTTTTAACCCTTTCAAAATAAGGGGAAAAAATCAAAAGCTTAAAGTCTCACCCTGACCACAGCCAGTTTCACCCTGCCCACATAAAATACCAGCATGCCAAGGGCAATAAGTAACAGAGAGAGTCATGGAGGCTTGTAARGCCAATCGGAGAAGATACACGCTGAAAATTTTAATTTCCTTTCTCCTTTGATTGAGGCTCATTTGCATTCAATGGCTAATGTGAGCTGTAGTCTGCCACAGGATATGAATTGTGGGTTACACTTTGGGTATGAGGCCAGGATGATAAAGGAGAAGCTGTCAAAAAGAAAGAATTAGAATAGGCCACAGAAAGGACTCGTGCGCTCGAGCCAGGGCTGTGATAAGATGAACTTGGATGGTCAAGGCGTAACTAACATTCCTGTTTACTTCCGGACAGGAAGTCCTGGAATCTGGATTTAAACATCCCACAATGACTTTAAATTTACCAAGAATACGAATCAAGGATACACATTTTTAAAAAAGTGAGTGAAGACAAATTGGATTAAGATGGCATTTGAGTAGTTACTTAGGCAACTTAGTGGCAGCCAGTGCCTGCTCAATGGGACAAACCTCTTGTCTGTGCAGTCTGTGACATTGACAGCAAAGACCAAACTCCACCCTTGACTAGGCTACCTTTACTTTTGGCCCAGGAAGTATTTACCTCTGAAGTCTGGCAGTAAGTATTTATTGAATGAATGAATGAAAAAAACCATTGGGCTCATATCTATAACTACATGTCTCCCTGAAATATTCTTGAGTCACAATTAGAAATGCTGTCCTCTAATAAAAATGCCACAGGGACTTTGTTTTGGATCTGTCCATGCCATGGACTCTGACTTTGGTTTTCCTCTGCCTCTGCCAAGAGTCTCAGCTAGCTGCCAGAGAAGAACACTGAACATTCACCTTCCTTTACCTCAGCCCTCAATGTGTTCATTCTCCAGTTTTGAGGCCACCTGCCCTCTGAGGGAGGCTGAGTTTTGCAAGGGCTGGCATTCCTGTGTTCCCAAAGACATTCTACTCAGCATAGGGCAGGTGCCTAGTAAGTAAAAAGGAGATGTACATGTACAACATAATGGGCCAAAGCAGAAGAGACACATTAAAAAGAGGACAACTTTTAAGTAGAAATCAAGGCAATACATACTTGTAAGGCAAAACACAGTTTGTAAGGCAATACACAGTTTCTGTAATGACTCTGGCACTTTTGGATTGGATTAAGCAATATCCTCTTGCTAAGATACGTATCAACCCTGAGAAATTTTATTCAGTTTGTAAAGTCCCAGTTAAATTCTTTTGTACAATTGGAGAAATAAGAGCCTTTGATTACAAACTAAAATTTCCCCAGCCCTTTAAAAAGGGATGGGGGAGGGGAACAGGTGTGGAAGAATGTCTGATCTGTCATATTCTGTAGTGACAGCCATAAACGTGTTTGGGTAAGGCAATCTGATGTTCTGATAACGTTGATAGAAGTAACATGAAGATTGGGTCACAGGAAGCCCAAGATAAATGCTGAGAGGAAACAGGTTCTTTTTGAAGTAGCCTCTTCATAATCATTTTCCCACACATTTGTTCAACTTCCGAAGGAAGAACGAATACCTGATTTGCTTTGCAAATGAAAGAGCTTAAGAACAAGATATTCAGCTAATATTGTAACAAGTGTGTTTGGAGGCTGCTCCAGCTCCCTTTGAATTCAGGYTGGGGCTTCAGAGCTGTGCTAACTGTTCCCATAAGACAAAGGCTGTGGTCTTCATTTATTTGGATATACTTGTTTGATAGTTGGATTAAAAATGACTTATTGAAAAAGATTAGAGCAGAAAAATAACAAAAATGTTATTAGGGGAGTAGAAGTAGAAAGGGAGTAGAAGTGATGATCCAGAGTCACACAGATGGTACAAGAGGCTACCAAATTTTATTGTCCCATCAGCCAAAGCAAAATTCTCATCATTTTACCTAATTCTTGCTTTTACCTAATACTTAGCTTTTAGAGATTTAATGAGATGACATGATGGACAATGTGCTCAGCCACCGCCTAACGAAACTGGCAGTTGCAGAAAGGAGCACCTTCGTGGTATTGCGTGAAGCTCTGAAATTGAGGGGAGGGGCAAAGCTGCAAAGGTGGCCCTACTTTTTACCTTGCTAAGGCCATGGCAAGCTTTTAATTTATTGTCATGTTCTGCATGCATCTAGGAGTTTTATATAAGCTGGCCACTGTGAAAAGAAAGAGAGCAAGCTCTAGAGAGGCCAGAGGAATCTCCTCCTCTACATGAAAAAAAAAAAAAAAAAAAAAGTACACTTTAAAAAATCCTTTGATACTAGCCATGGAAGGCTCAGGAGTCTGAGGCAGGAGGATCACGAATTCTAAGCCAGCCTTAACAACTTAATGAGGCCCTAAACAATTCAGCGAGACCCTGTCTCTAAATAAAACACAAAAAAGGGATGGGGATGTGGCTCAGTGGTTAAGCGCCCTTGAGTTCAATACCAGGTACCAAAAAAAAAAAAAAAAAAGTCCTCCTTTGAAACTAGTCCACAAATCCAAAATTTCTCCAGACCCACTTTGAATTTCTGATAGCTGCCTGGCACAGTGCCTAGTAATTGGTGTTTGTCAAAAGAACATGTGATTGAATATAATCCAAGAACTATGATTATTTTGGAGATGCTCTAAGCTTATGAAGAGTTTTGAAATGAGATCATGGTCTTGTTACCAGCAGGCAACATTACCCCTGACTTTCCATGGGATACTTTCTACATACACATTTCTTCACGTTATGACCTAAGAACTGGTTTTTGTTCTCCAAAACCTAATGAAAAGGATAACAAAAATTGGCTAAAATATTTTTGGTGAAAAGGAAATTTTATCAATGAGAAAAAGTACATTTAAAAATACTTCTGCCAGGCGTGGTGGCATATTCCTATAGTCCCAGTGGCTCAGGAGGCTGAGGAAGAAGGAAGGATCACGAGTTCAAAGCCAGCCTCAGCAAAAGCAAGACACTAAGCAACTCAGTGAGACCCTGCCCCTAAATAAAATACAAAATAGGGCTGGGCATGTGGTTCAGTGGCCAAGTGCCCCTGAGTTCAACCCCAGTATTCCTCCCCCCAAAAAATTTCTTCCAAATTTGTTTCATAATGATTTCTGTTTAAAAGACCCACAACATTAAGAATTTCTGGGTGTGAAATTAAAAACACAGGCCTCTTTTAACCACACAAAATTGAGATGTTAAGCACAAAGAAACTGCTCATTAATGTCAGGCTCAAAGTAAACACAAAAGTAGTTCAGAAAAAAAGACCATCACTACAGGCTTTATAAAGGTAAAAGATTTTATTTCTTATCTAACCATGCTGCATGTGTACATACAATAGTGATATATACAACTTGAACAAATACAATTTATACATGAAATACCATGAAAGTGTGGCTTTTAAATTTAACACAACAAACTTGTACAATTTGTAATTTTGGCCAGTATACAGTATTGTTAGTAATGCTATTGAAGTTATTAAGGATTTAAATTACACTAAAGTTAAGTTCAAAGGCACTAGAAAAGATCTATGTTTTCTTGTAGTATTTTACGAAAAAAGAAAAGTTAAAAAGGAAAATAAATGCATACATTAAGAAATTGGGCAGACACTGGCGTGCTTAAATGTAAACTCTACCCATTCCTTAATTCACAGCCCTGTAGGAAAGAGAGGGACTTTCCTTAAAAATTAAGGGGAACACATGTGCCACTACATAATGACTATATACTGTATAATTACTTATGTTCTAATTTTAAAAAAGGAATTAAGGGGAAAGATATTAAAAACAGACTAAAAAAAGAAGCAAAAACAAAATCCCCAAGCTATAATAATTTTAAAAACATGTTACAGATGATATTATAACACTTCCTTCCCCCAAAGTAATGTTAAATTTTTTGAAGAAAAAATTCTTCTTTTTCTAAAAAGTACATGAAGTAGCTTGTCAAATGAGTTCTTACTTGTGCAACAAATGTGTAGATGCAGAAGTCCGCCACCCCCCTTAAGGAATCTTACACTTCACAAGAATCTAAGCACAAATGGGGAATACCATTATATTTTAAATTACAACTATCTATATATATATAATTACAAGGTTTACTGAAGACCATACTTAAACTAAACATGGTAGCAAGGCCCCTTTTAATAAATAAATATTGCTTTTTAAATTAAAGGGAAAGAGAATATTTATTCAATAACCTATTATATACTTGTGACATTTTAAATCTGCACATTTACTTCAAATAATGAGCAAATTTTGTTGGTGTATATTATTTTAGGAAATTAACACTGAATTTATAAAATATTTCATTTGTGAAATAAAACACAGTAAATGTGAAAAAAAACAGAACTACTGTGACTGGAGCTAAATGAATAGCTCTGAAGTCAGTGTCCTATATATTCAAATGGATATTCAGACCTGCTTTGAATATCTAATTTTGGTATATTTGAATATTTAATGTCCATCTGGCAGAATCAGTTCTAGCATTAATTCTTTTTTAAAAAAATTGCTAAAGCAGACTGCTCAAGAATTTCTCAACATTTGACACTTCATAGATTTCTTTTTGTTCTTGTGTTGGGGTGGGATAGAAAAAATATTTTACATACTGTGGCTTAAATTTCTATAATGTTTTAAGCTTAATTCAAAAGGTATTCCTTTCCTATTAAATAAACTGTTGAAGGCTAGAAACATGGACTTTTAAAAAGAAAGAGCATTGGTCACTTTTTTCCTTCAGGTAAAGATATCTGTAGACTAATTACTAAAGTTAAGTGTGCATCATCAAAAACATTTTACAATTTCCAAGATATTCTACTCACATAAAGTCTTGACAAGACATACTCACCTCAAGTCTTCACAGTACCTAAACAATGCTCCTCAGAGCAAAGTTATATACTTCTAACTCTCACACACACTACAAAGAAAATGCTGCCAAGTGAAATGCAGTTCTAATTACCTAGCAAATACCACACAGGACATTCAGGACTCCACTTCCAGAAAGCACTTCAAACATATGGACACATTTTTACTACCACCTCACCAGTATTCTACCTCCACTTACCACCACTCTAACAGAACTCTAACACCCCAGTATAATTAGTAAACTAATGTTTAATCAAACTTATTTAAATAATGTTAATTTAATAAATCCTAACTTGAGAAGTCTCAAAACCTTTGCAACTAACACGTGTCAGGGGTGATTATGAAATTTTAAAACTCACAGAACAGAAGACTAAGTGGTTTAAGAATAGAAAACTTTTACAAAAAAAAAATTAAAATTTTGTTAAGTAGCCAACCAAAAACAAATTATCTATTTCTTAGATTACTATGAAATGAATAAATATAATTTTTATATTGAGAGGAATATGGTCCAACTGGGCATATCAATAGAAGAAATTTAGAAAATATTTTCTTTTATAAAATATTTTAAAAAATAATAAAGTGGTGTTTAGTTTTTGTTTTGCGGTACTGGGATCTAATCCAGGGGCACTCTACTACTGAGCTACCTCCCCAGCTCTTTTTATTTACTTTTTAAAATTTTGTGACAGGGTTTTGCTAGGTTGCTGAAGCTGGCCTCAAACTTATGATCCTCCTGCTGCAGCCTCCTGAGTCATTGAGATTACAGGTGTGCACCACAACATTTGGAAAAATAAAATGTTTTAAAGGTCAAGGATTCAAAAAGATTTTTCTGGCTTAGTTGCATTTTCTGGAAAATAAAAGCCCTTTTCAATTGGGATATAGGTAATTTCCATCAAAATTTAAAACTTATACAAGGGAAAGCATACCCAAATCATACTTCAGAGAGAATTTTTAAAAAATAGACAATACAGGCAAAGATACTCCTTTACGTTTGTACAATTCAATGTTTCAAGAGAAGATGATGCCATAACAATAAAAAAGTGTATTTAATCGAACTCAAAGTAGCAAAAAAGGTCAGAAGAGATCGAAATGAAATATATTTTCAATATTTGGTTTCAAAATGTATACTTGCGAGGACTGACCATTGAATTACAAAATTTTCTACAGAACATGAATAAGATCAGTCATCTCATACTTAAATTCAATGAATATTAATATAAAAAATAAAATATATATGAACAGGCCAACAGGGTTGGTGTTAGGACGGAGTCATTTCTTACATGTGCAGCCCAACATTTACATATAGCAGCACAATATGGGGTAATTCAACCTGCTACTTTCTACATGCAAAACAGGACATACTTTTTTTTTCCCCTGTACTTTGAAATTATTTATCTAAATATAGAGTAGTTGGGTAAATAGCTAACAGACTTACATTACATCAAATTGCAACTCTATAGCATGAACTGCTCCCCCAACTTTCTGGTACAGTACAGTTCAAGAGTAGTATAACAATCTGAACAATCACCAATTGTACAATTTTAATATGTTAACTTAATGTATATGTTTAAAAATTATGCAAATCATTGTTTCCAAGTCTTATATCATGATAGTTTTCATTATTTGAAATTACACAGAAGTCTTCAGTGTTTTAATTAAAGATTTGTCCAGGCATAGGAACATCACTAATTTTTATTGTAACTTTGATTCTATAACATTTACTGAAGTAAAGAAYCAATTACTGTCTCAGGCTTTGCAGAACGCTTTCTGTTTGAAGAAAAAAAGAAAACATGAATGCTTTTAAAAAGACAAAAATGCAAACACTTTACAACATGTAGTAGAAAAATAATGGGGTGGCTACAGAGTCTGGAAATTGGCTGACATCACACCCCAGTACACAGGGTAGTGAGAGATTGGGGAGATGCTAGTGTCCAAAACTGGACTAGACAATGTGGCCACATCAAGTAGGTTGCACGCTCCAGTTTGGAATCTCTTGCTAATCTCTTTTGGGCTATGCTAATGGCACAGGTGGATTGTGTAAGAATCAGACACAAATCATCTTAAGCAACAACTCACATACCTATGTAGGGACTGATGGAAATGCTATATTATTGTACTATTTATGCAATTAAGCCCAGCACAATGAATTATGTATTTCTAATGAGGACTATCACATTGAACACACCATGTAATATAATATTGATGAACCATTTATTGTATATATTTGCCTAGATTTATGGCTATCTACAATTTTTATGATACAACAGGATATTTCTGGTATACAAAGATGCTGACTTTGGCTCACATAATGTTAGCCCACACTGTTTTTTTTTTTTAGCTTAACCTAAAGCTAAGCTAAAAAAAAAAAAAAAAGGTACATATTTAAAAATGAACATTATGGAAGCCATATCCAAACAGCTCATCAAATTTGATGTTTTAGGTCTACAAAATAAAAAAGTAACTAAAAACTGAGGGATCTCATGTAAGTAATCTGAATTTCTTGCTTCTCCTTAGAAAAGAGAAGATCCAGAAATAACGGGCCCTCTATTCCCACAACTAATTAGGAACTTTTAAAAGCATAGCTCTCCAGCTTGCCCCAGTCCCCTCAATTAGCTACTTTCTACTATGCCAGGACCAACTATCTTACCATCATACTTGTAGTGTCATATTTCCTAGTAACTGCAGAGTTAAGAGGAAAATATTTCTAGTAAAAGTGGAAAAGTAAAAGATCTAAAAGAATTTGTGTTTCTTAGAACTGATTTGCTTCATTCCTTAATACTGCATGTGTGTCTTTGGTGGGCACATGAAAGTTTTTAAACCGCTTATCTAAATGCTGAAGAATGCAAAAATTTGTACACTTTAAATGTGTAACTGATTTCCCTACCACTAGTTCTATTACCTCAAGTTTAAAAGTATTAGGTTATGTCTATGAGATYGTATAATAAAAAAAATTAAAAACACACAACTTCATCTATTATAGAAAAGTACATGAAATCAAGAAAAAAAAGAAGCTCGTTATCTGCTACAATTTCAGGAGCTCCGATGCAATTAGCCTAAACAGGCTGCACAATACTTGACATAGGAAAAATGGAGAACAAACTCCAGCCCAGGACTGATTTCCTTGGGCTTATGTGATAATACATGAACATTACCATGGTCATAACCAACTATCTTACTATCATACTTGTAGTGTCCAAAAAAGTGGGTAAGATGATCAAAGATTCCATTATGAGAGAGGAAATAAAAGTTCTTGGGGTTGTGTTTATGATAGAAAAACTAACCAGCTGAACACAGTAATTTGGGAGTCTAACCAGGCAAATTAATTAACATCTTGCTAGAAAAACTAGTGTAAGAATTAAGCAATTAAAAAAGATAGTGATTCATTAAACATTTGGAAAGATCAAAGTGGATTAAAAATAACTTATATTACTCTAGAGGGCTAAAGAAGTTGGAAGACCTTAATTCTTTAGTCAGATTTTACTTGCTCAAATTGTGACTACATAAGAAATTTGATTTTTAACTTATCAACTAAAATATTTATCATGCTAGATAAATTTTAGTTTCCTCTAAGTGTATTAATCATCATTTTATTGGATTCAAGGATGGTCCTTACCTTCTCCCTGTTTTTGGCCTTGTTTTCCCCTTTGATGTCCGTGGCCTTTCTAATTTCATCAAAGACTGACGCAAACTCTCCTCAGTATAGGCAAGATACACATGGGAAAGATCTACTTCAAAGGGCTAGTGAAAGAAAAATTAAACCAGATACTCTTTAAAAAGTTAAACCAGATTTGGGGGAAGATATAAAATACTGAACAAACACCTAGCCAAAAAAAAAACAGAGAAGATAAAACTAAATAAATATTTAAAGACTTCTTCTAATTCCAATATCTGAAATGTATTCACCAAAGTTTGGTGAATTAGAACATCTGAAACACTATAAATTTCCTCAGACATAAAGAAAAACTATTACTAACTTCCCCAAACCTTGTTCCTCTTCTTGTTGACCTAGAACTAGAACAAGCTTTGAAAGGGAAGGCAGATGCATTCTAGTCTCTCACCATATCCCCATGACCTAGAGAGGTAAAAAGAAGATTCCAAAGAGTCTCTCCAGGCCATTCTTGTGACAGAAATAAGCTGGCCATCAGGATAAGCCTGAGAGTGAGCAGAACTGTCGTAACAACTGCTCCATCCTAGAGGAGCCCACTTTTCAGCAGAGCTGATTAACAGATACCAGGTTAATAGCACACTGTAATGACCCACATTCCTATAAAGAAATATATGTAATTTTTTWAAAAAAGTATTCTTACATCTTTCTCCTTTTTATCAGGTACTGGTGTTTGCTTCCTCATGTTATTTCCTGTATAGGCAACACATTTCTCAAAAAAGGAAAGGGTGGGGAGGAAGAAATGTCTTAATTAGTAATTAGTACTGTGAATTAGGCAAACTACTGTGAGATATCCTGATGTTTCACTAGTAAAACATGATTTGAATGTTGATACAGAAAAGGAACCAGAGGTCAATCAGTTCCATATCTCCTGACCTAGGCCATTTCTACCACATGATCTCTGTTACAGTTAATTAGAAAATCATCTTAAATGCCCTACTAAATTCTCATCTGATTCATCCTCTGGACCACTTCCCACCTCATGGCAGCCAGCGCAATTTCTAGTCCAGAGAAAAAGTAGTTCACATTATTTCATGAAAGGATGAAGATAATACTCACTAGCTGCCATTCTCCTATGTCTTCATTCCAGTGTACATAGTTTTCAATCATTTCCTTTCAAAAGTCAAGGACAGTTCATTTTTAATATTTAATAGCATTTAAATTATTGAAAAATAGTCAGTCATAGAATGCTTAAGTGACAAAAGTTTCAAGACATTATATTACATGATACTATTTCTATTAAGTTTTAAAATATACATTCTTAGGAACATGTGTAGGAACTATTAAACTATATAAAAATAGGGCTRGGGATATTATTATTCAGTGGTACAGCACTTGCTGAGCATGTATGAGGCCCTAGGTGTCATTCCCAGCACCACACACACACTCTCTCACACACACAAATATGTTATACTGTATGTGTACACTATTGTGTGTGTGTGTGTGTGTGTGTATATACATTTACATATATACATATGTCAAGAGAATGAGAACACAGGAATCAGAATGATGGGTACATTTGGTTGGAAGAAGCATGGGTGGAAGAATGTGGGAAGCCATTTGGTTAAAAGTAGGTTACTGTCAAGGTCCTAGCTTTTGTTTTGGGTGATGAATTCACTACAAAATAACTAACTAAATTAAAGCAGACCATCCAAGGACAAATAAAAACAGTGGGCTATGTATCCAGTATTAATTTTATACACCTGAGGTCCAAAGGAAAAAGTACTAAGGCTTATTTTCAGACAAATATTGGGAATTCAAAACAGATTTTTAGGAAAATCATGTTACAAAGTTGATTAAAATGAATTGCAAAGAGAATTTTTGGTTATGAAAAAGAGGATAAGATTTTTAAATTATACTTGACTAAGAATCATCATACATTTGGAGATGAATGGTGGTGATGGCTGTACAACAATATGAATATTCTTAACATTGCTGATCTGTACACATTAAGGATGGTTAAAATGATAAATTTCATTTATGTTCATTTTACCAACCAGACACACAAAAATTAACATCCATAAATAAGGCAAAATAGCCTAGGGGTTCTATTTACTGGACCTATACCTTGATTCTGATTGCATTTACATGAATCTGAATTCTCCAAATGAAAGAGAAATTCTTAGATACTTACATATTAAGGGAACCTTAATTAGATATTTAGATATTAAGGGAAGTTAACCGAAGTTAACTGGCATTGTTCAAGAAACTTTTACAGATAATAGCTAAATTAAATTAAATTACAAATTTCATTTCCTTTATTTAACCCCAGTCCAGTGACTAACATCTAGATTAGAGAACTTCCTGCTTACCTGATAGTCCTGAGGTATGAAGTTATCAATAATAAGCATTTGAAGTCGAAGCTCCCGGCTAAGTTGCCGAATGTTTTCCAGTAGGCCTTCAATTTCCCTCTGATGTTCTTGTTGGAGATCTGCCATCTACCAGAAAATCCATAAAAATATTATAAATAAATAAGATTTTGAGTACAAAAGTTCCTCTGACATAGGACATTGGCTTGTCAGACCTTATGCAGTTCTTTTATAAAAATAAAATAGACTGACACTATCACTATGTCAAGTTATTAGTCAAAACTGGGGRAAAAAAAATTAGTTTGATAGCTAAAACTAAAAATTGCACATAAAGGCAAAGTATTTTATTTATTTCTTTAAAACTGTAAGCTCATGTTATGATTACATATGCATTCTTAATCAAAGGAATTTCTTCTTTAAAAATTCAGAACTAGGGCTGTGGCTGTGGCTTAGTGATAGAGCACTTGCCTAGCATGTGTGAGGCATTAGGTTCGATTCTCAGCACCAAATATAAAAAAATAAATAAAATAAAGGTCCACCAACAACATCAACAACAATAAATATTTTTAAAAAATTCAGAACTACATTTGTAGATCATTCTAAGAAACCAACCTCTGACTTTGCAGCCATCAGCATAGTCCAAACTTTCTTTAATTTCTTGGTCTTTCCCTGTGCTTCCTCTTGTAAACTGGTATATTTTTCTTCAATATCTAAGCGTTCTTGCTATGATAAAAATTGGTAAACTTCAGAATCACTTTAAGACACAAATTTAAATTATTTTAAAAAGTTAGTGACTATTATCTTCAAAATAAACCATACATCTGCTTTTAGTGCCTGTCTCCCAGTTATTTAGGAGGCTAAGGCAGAAAGATCACAAGTTCAAGGTCAATTCAGGCAACTTAGTGAGGGCCCATCCCAAAATAAAAAATAAAAAGGGCTGGAAATGTAGCTCAGCATTCTGGTTCAATCCCTAGAACCCCACAACATACACCCTATTTCAAAATTTTATTAAGATTATAGATATTAAAAGATAAATAACTTAGGCAACGAATATTAAACTTAAAGCAAAAAGTCATATCACCTCTTTTTCCTCAAGTTCTCTGCGAAGCTGCTCTGCTCTTTTCCTCCTTTCTTCCAGCTCCATGTTAGATTCTTCAAGAAGTTTTTCTTGTTCCTCAGCTTTGGCCAATAAATCAACACCACCAACAATTACTTTCTTCTCCAGAGCAGATAATTTTTCCAGCAAAGATTGATGCTCTTGTCTATAGATTCAAATGAGAATACTCTAAATTCACTGATCAGCTACTGTTCTAATAATGGCATTTCCCAAAATTTGATAAGAATTTTAGGTGTACAATTTCAAAATTAAAAAATAATTATATAACATCTCTATGAAACTATACCTCTGTGTAGTTTTTAATTCATTAACCTCTAATTCAAACTCACCAATATTTTTCCTCCCACAGAGATTAAATAATTGAAACAGATTTAATCTTTAGAAATATATCACATACATGGCATTTTCTACCCCAGAACAGCTATACTTGAAACAACAATCAAGCTTTTAGTTACTATTCAATTTCCCTGCTCATATATCTTATGAAAACTATTAGAAATTTAAATCATGAATTCATCTCAATTCAATAAAACTCACTGAGCTTTAAGAAGATCTTTTTCCCGCTTCTCTAATTCAGCTCTAGCCTTGTTTCTTTCTTCTTCTTCCATGTCAAGCTTTGTTTCAAGTGCTTTTCTCTCCTCATCAATTTTTGCTTGCATTTCAACCATCTTATCTGGAGAAACTTTCTTTTTACCTATTTGAGTCATTTAATTGCAACAATCACTAAAACAAGTGAGTATTTCAGACATGTAATTATCTTTGATACAGAACTGACTAGACTCCTCAATAATACAAAATATCAACATTTTAAGAAAATTAAACTGATAGTATCACTCATTTCCATTTATGTTCTAGAAAAACTTTTATTTTTTAAAAATATTTTCTAGTTGCCGATGGATTTTTCACTTTATTTATTTATATGTGATACTGAGGATCAAACCCAGGGAGGGCCTCACACATGCCAGGCAAGTGCTCTACAACTGAGCCACAACTCCAGTCCTAGAAGAACTTTTTAATTCACTGCTAAATTCAAATTGTTGTTCAAATGTACAATTATATCTAAGAACAAAAGTAGGTTAAAGAGAAGCAAAACAGATGGGCTGAAAATAGGGAAAGAAAGAGTAATAGGAAAGCCAAATAAAATAGCAAAAATTTCTGTGTCCCCAAACAATACATATAGGATAAAAAAGAAAGCAAAATGATTCTTCAGTTTCTTTCTCCTGATAATTAAGTACAATCCACAAGTGGCTTCTCAAAAACCGTCTCCCAAATAACATAAATTAAAGACATATATAGATATAAAATACAGATAAAAAATATCAGAATTTSTATCAGGTAGATTTTAATTTATTCTTTGTGGTGCTGAGGATCGAACCCGGGCCGCACGCATGCCAGGCGAGCGCGCTACCGCTTGAGCCACATCCCCAGCCTAATTTATTCTTGAGAGTTTTAAAAATTTATTATTCAGGGTTTTTCTAAAACTTTTGTTTAATAAAATTATTAGAAAGTATTTTCTACCACATAGTATATTTCTAAAGAAAGAAATTCTATAATAATTATACAAGTTACATAGTATTAACCAAGCATTTTATAGCTGATTAGCTGTCATGATTATCATCAGATCCTAAATGAGCAACTAAAATGCTCATTACTATGTCAAACTCAGGATCCTAAATCTCCCTAACTCAGATTAAATAAGTGTCAAATATAAGCAGAAATACTACCAAATAATAAAGCTGAAACATAACTTCCAGTTGATCATTTTGATTATAATGTCTAAAAGTGTTTTATATACATATAATAGGTATTCAATGAAAGTTTACTGATGAATTTCAAAAATCATGAAATTCATATGTAAAATCAAAAAGAAAATAAAAACTAGCTTACTAAAATGGTTATGGAACTGAATCAATGACAATTCATTTCTGGCAACTATTTCTCAGAATCATATGTTCCTTCAGAAAACCAATCAAACTTTTCACAGAATTGATCTGAGGCTCTCCTGAAAGCTTTGTCATTCTTAACTTCCTTCCCAAAGGACTGTAGAAGAAAAGGGTAAACCAGAAGAGTTTATAAATTGTTAATGCCTCTACCCCAATCCAACCCCTTCACTAATAATGAGGAAAAAAAACTGAAAATAATTATGATGGTAACATATATCTGAATATATCCTTTGAAGAACCATGAGAGGAAGAATCATTCATAGGCTTCATTTAAATCTTCAGGCCAAAATTATATTAAAAACAAACAAACAAGGGTTTAAAATACAATATCCTTCATTTCTACAGATCTGTAAGTTCAAAGCAAAATCTAAGCCACAAAACAAATTAAAATAAAAGCACTGATCTACATGCTTTGGTATGGTGTGATTCATTGCATTCCAAAAGTCAGGATGTGGACCTGAATCTGTTGGCTTGTTTATCACAGTCCCCAGTGTGGTACCTTCTGGGTTATATGGTTAAAAAATAACTTTTAAAAATAATTTAACTCCTTTTCTCAATGAATACTTAGAAAGAATTTCCCATAAGTGATACAATTTCTCAGAAATTTGAGGGACAAAAGATAAATTTAGGTGTGTGCATTTAAAAACCTGTAACTTCCTTTCCACCTCAGAATTACAAATATTTAAAGAAAAAAATGGCAAATATGTTAAAAGCAAAACAACACAGGTATGAAGACATGGATGCTTGACATATGAACATGAATATTTTTAGGCCTTTAGGATTCTAATTGTTTTTGTTAATAGTTAAAAATAGTTTTTACAGGGCCTGGTGGCACACAGGTAATCCCAGCTACTTGGGAGGCTGAGGCAGAAGGATCACAAGTTCAAGCTCAAAGTCGGCTTCAGCAACTCAGTGAGACCCTGACTGGGGATGTAGCTCAGTGGTAAAGCACCACTGGTTTTAAACCAAACAAAACAAAACAAATAAAAATAGTTTCAAAACCTATAAAGTGGTGAAAAAATAAAAAGATTGAATATGTAGAAATATAAAAATGCATGCCTCTTGATGAATTAATACCATGCCTGAATTATATTAGTAAAAACCATCTGGTAATGTTTTTCAAAGTGATGCTTTTGTAGCAAAAAAACACTACTGTGCTGCTCTTGTAACATTTTCATGAAGATGACCATGCATATATAATCAGTATAGCTAGAATCAATTTCAAAAGTCTGATATTTACCATGTTAGTCTAGCCAGAATCACTTTGATAAATCATTATATTTCTTCAAATAATACTTTAAGCTAACTTTGAATATGTTCCAACTCTCCTAACCAATCATTTTAAAATGAGGCATTACTAATAGTCACTTTTACATGTACTTTTTAAATTAATTAATTTATTTTTACCCTGTTCTTTATGATACAAACAAGGTTTAGCCTCCAGGGGGCTGGCCTGTGGACTCCTGGGTTAGGGTTAAGGTGCTTTAGTCTGGGGGAAGGTGGATACCAGGGGCAAGAGCCTGGTATCCAGGAGCACAGAGGTGATCTCCCCTCGTCACCATTACTGTTAAGTAGGAACTTTGATTCTTCTAACTACAAATATTTTAAAAGACTTTTTTAAAGGGTATGGGAGTAAGGCTGGGAAGTAAAGCACTTGCTTAGCATTGGTAAGGCCCTGGGTTTGATCCCTAACAACGTACACACATAGCCTCTTATAAACAAAGCCAGTTAATTAAAAAAACAACAACCACCACCCCATAACAACACAGTTTCTAATATTACATGATAAAATTTCAGCACAAAATTTCAGGTAGGTAAATTTTAATAATGCCAGAATAAAGAGTATTTAATTAAGACAAACAGAACTAGTAACATTTTCCAGTTGCACTTTGTCATGTGTTCTAACCAAAACTGTGATGGTGAACTGGCAAGGAAAGTCTGAGGGGAAGAACTTCAGGGAAGTATTAACTGAATTCATTTCATATTATTAAATGAGTACCCACCAGCATAGCTCACAGGCACTTTATTCTTGGCTTTAAAAGAAAAGAGTGGAAAATGTTTGTGAAATCATTTATAATTGTATTTCTAAAATGTGACTTTAAGAATTTAGGAAAAAAGAAAGTTTTATTTTGTTTTTGGTATCTGGGCTTGAAACCCATAGTGCTGAGCTACATCCTCAGTACTTTTTTTTTTTTTTTTTTCATTTTGATACAGGTTTTGCTAAGTTGTTTAGGGACTCACTAAGGTTGCTAAGGCTAGCCTTGAACCTGTGATCCTCCTGCCTTGGTCTCCCAAGTGTTTTTGTTTTTTTTAAGTTGAAGTTGAAAGAATTTTTGAATACAAAAAAACGGATACTTACCTTGCAAAAAATATTAAATTAAAAAATGCTATTTAATTAACAAAGTTCTTTATAAGATAAATAACTACTAAGTGGAGTGCAAATCAATCACACCAACCTGCTTGATCTTGCAATAAGAGGTGGTAAGCAAATCGTAGACAGGAAGCATATGCACAGAGATGAGGAAGAAAAAAAGGAAAACATTATTTCCTTTGTAAAACAAAAAAAAATGTATAATAGCATTTACAGTATAAGTAGAGAAATAAATCAAATCATTATCAAAACGGAAATAAGAGCCCATGTAAAAAGAAAGCATATTGAATATAATGAGAGATACAATTTAAGCAAGGAGAAGATTACTTTACTCTTAAGATTACAACTCAAAGAGCTCACACTGACTCCCAAATTCCTGCAAATGTAACAATTCAGCATCATGTGGTTATGTTAAATGGTAGACAAAGAATTGGGAACCTGTTAAGACCTGGGAAATTCTAAAAGAACAAAGCAGAAAATTAAGCCAATTTTTAAAATTAATAAGTTGAAAGTAACAAAATTCACATTGTCCATTTCCAAAATTTCCCAATTCAATGTGTCTCCTAGTACAAAGATCCATTACAGGTGTGCCCCATTTTAAGAAAATTCAACTCAAAACCCTGAATCAACAAGAGATAAAAGTTTATAATTTTCACTATTTGACAAAAAAATTTTATGAAGATTTTTTAAAGACAGCAAGTTCACAATACACTGTTTTCCAAATTGATTTATAAGCAATGTTTTCAGAGGAAAAAATTTACTACATAAAATGGAGTACACCTGTATAGTAACAAACTTACATTCAACCTATTAGTAGATTATAGAAGTAAATGACAACTGATGATTCAAGCAAGGGACACCTAAAAAAAAAGGCCACTCAGGTTTTATAAAGGGAGGGTACATACATAACAAGTTACACACAGCAACCACATGCTTGGGACAATTATCTCTCCACTTCACCAACCTACCCATGTTACAACAACAACATATTTTATGTGCTAAGTATGCAAATAGCAATGAAAACTTCTTGAATTGAACAAAGTACAACTCATTTCACACTGTAAGTTCATGTAACTATTCTTTAAGAACAAAGATAAGTTTTGCATTAGAAAAAATGCAATGTTTCCTACTCAGATATTTCTCATATTTCAGTTTATAAAACAAAATTAACCTTTATATGGTCTCTAAAGCAACATCATGTATTTTTTTCAAATTATCCTCTGAAGTGAATCATTTGGTAAATTGCTTAAGAATCGTCAATAGACAGATTTTTGCTATTCTTGGATTCTTCCTCTAAAAAGCTAAATGCATAAGAACAATAAGCAATTATTTTGTTATTAGTTTGGGAAAGGTAAGAATATAGATAATGCTTTAAAAAGACAGTAAGCTGCAAGCTGGTACAAGAAGGTATCATCTCTCTTCTGAGAATAAAATATGAATAGATAAAATTAAATAATACTTTTCAACTTAATTAAAGTTTAAGAAAAAGTCTTTAAGTCTGAAATAAGTCTAGACAGATCCTGAGTAAACTTCATGTGGTTCTTAATTATTTAATCACATCTTAGAAAAATTCTTAAAACCTATCAGGTAATTAGAAATGGAGATAAAGTCCATTTGAAATAAAATACCACTCAATTTATTTTTACTTGCTTGAAACACTCCATTTTTCTTTATTTGGGAGTCTTTAATCTTAAGCTACTGCTAAGAATAGGACACCAAAGTGTAAAATTTTTATAACTGTATGACATGTTATAATGGGTACTGGTATACTGCCAAATGTAATTGGTACTAGAAATTCAGGATTTGTTGTTACATGTCCCTTATACTGACCAAGATTAAACATTTATAATGAAACATAAAAAAACAACCATAAGAATTTTTCTTTTATACAGCTTACTAGCTCTCTTTACATTATCTCAACTGCAAAAGCATGAATCTCTCTTCCATTGTCTCAAACATAAGCTAAAGCATATGTTTTAACAATTATGGTTAACTGGAAGCAATGAAGGGGCATGGGGGATCATCAACATGCTTTGTTCTACTGAGAAGTCCAACATGTATTCTTCAAATAATGACAGGGAGCGGTGCAGCATTGCTCAAATGAAGCCCATGGGTTATGGAGAAGCCAAAGCTCTGTTAGAGAATTTAAGAGCTACCACTCACTAGTCAAGAACTTATCCAGAGGTTTCTCTATGACAGAACATGTGGAGTCTGAACTACTGCTGCTGCTACTGCCTGGAAGACAAAGAAATGAGCCCAACGCCAACCAAAGAAAGAAAAAACAGGAATATGAACACACATATAGAGAAAAATTCAGTTCCAGAGAAAGAATTTTAAAGGACAAACAAGCTTTGTATTAAAGAATCAAAACTTAGTTTCCCTTAAAACCAGTTTTGGTAGTAGTCTATCCAATGTTCTCTACTTCCCAAAGCCATATGGGGGGATTAGAAACTGTATTTAAGATTCACTGTGTGCAAATTTTACTACTCATTTAAAACACTGCATGTTGAAATGACAAGAATAAAAAATATGTTATTTGGTGACATTTAAGTCTATTTAAATTATTTAGGTTGTAAGTTAAAGGAAGTTCTAAAACTTAAAGTCAAATTCAACTAACGTTATAGGTCTGTCACCAATTTCCCTCTCTCCCCTCATGGCATCAAACTATCAAATATAAATATTTATGTTTAAGGTATGACAGCAAAATTGAAAAGGCTCACTAAAAAAATTTAAATTTCTAAGCCTGGAAGGCATATTATCATTAAATATTTTAATATATTAAATAGTGGCATTTTTCTACATAAAGTTTTATTCTTAATAAATCTATTATATGCTTTATAGCTTTCTAAACAACAGTTCATTTTGTTAAAAAAAAAAAAACTAGATATGAACAAAAACTACATTTCTCTAAGTCAGGGTTTGGCAAACATTTTCTGCAAAAGGACAAATAATRTGTGTTTATAGGCCATAAGCCATGTGAAAGCAGCCACAGAACATATGTAAACAAATGAACATAGTTGTTTTAATAACATTTTATTTACAAAACAGATATGGGCTAGACTTGGCCAGCAGGTTGTATTTTACCAACTCTTGCTCTAAATCATGCTTTTCCTCTCTTCTGAATTTATACAATCTTACAGTTTTTAAATTTGGGACTTCTGATCAAACAGTGATGGGTTTATTTTCAGCAACATCATTTAAATAAGACAAGCAAAATATGCACCAGCTGGAAAACAATGATCCACAATAATGGAAGAGAGTTCTGAAATAAATATTTAGGATAAATAGGCTTGAAATGCAGGCCATTATAATATGTCCATCTCTTTTGCATGTTATCTATAATCTTAGCATGACAAAGTCTTAATTCACACATGATAACATATGCCCCACATTGGGGTGAGAATGAGCACATATTATAAAGAAAAGTAATTAAATTTTAAAATACAATAYTTAAACAAATTTATTATTTAAAAATCTAATGAATTCTAAAGATTAACCTTACTTGAGGAAAAACTCCACATTTTCCTAATTTATTAAAATATGTAGGTTCCTAACAGATCCAAGTCCTCACGTAAAATCAAAACTCTACCTAAAATTTCAAAATGTTATATCCACTCTCATAGTTTTATAATTCTAAAAAAAAAATCCAAACTATTCTGAGTAAGCTAAGAACAGATTAGTGGAGAAAAAAACAATGCAAAGTTAACTAGGTATATGGCATACATCCTCTATTCTAATTGTTACCATAACTATAAAAGCAAAATAGAAGGCATGCACTCTATTGTCTTAAAAATGTGAAAGCATTATTAGGTAGCAATCCTAATTATTTCTACCAATTAGAATACTTAACAGAACTTACCCCTTCTCTTTTTCCTTTTCTCTCCATCTTCTCCAACCTCACCCTCTTCATCCTCTTCCTCCTCTGACCCACTGATATCAGAGCCTGATATTTCTTCTCCTTGGATAGAAATTTAATGCAATGATTTTAGTCTGTACAAGTCATTTGTTATTTCAGAAATACTTATACCAATTTTCTTCATTAAGCTTTTTTTTTACTCAAATATACTTCTTATACTTTTTGCAGTACTGGGATTGAACCTGGGCAGGGGTGCTCTATCACCGAGTTACACCCCAGTCCTCTTAATTTTTAATTTTAAGATAGGGTCTCAATAAGTTGCCCAAGCTGGCCTCAAGTTTGTGATCTTCCTGCCTTAGCCTCTTGAATAGCTAGAATTACAGGAGTGTATCACTGTGCCTGGCTCAAAATATAAATTTAAATGTTTCAGTGCTCCTAAATAGTATATCAGTTGTGCTAATCTCAGAAATAGCTAAGATGTACACAGAGACTTTATTTTTCCAAAGTTCCTAAAAAAGTTAAAATCTGACCCATTTAAAAATTCAAATAATTATTTTAAATAGAGTTCTAAACATATACAAAAGATTATGTGTTAGAATTATTAGTTCAGTCTTTTAAAATGTGATCTCTTTGGGGGAGTATCTTCTCCTTGTTTCCTGCTTAAGATTTCAAATAATTCAATCTGTATATTTTTTGAACCACAAAACTGTCAGTTAATAAATACAGTGATCCCATATCTAGGATTATATCACAAAAAATTTTCAAAGACAGCTTTATCTGTACAAAGATAATGTTAACTACATATTCTCTTAAAGACAAAAAGTCAATAAAATGGAACCATTAAATAGTAATACAGAGAAGCACTAAATTAACTTCAAATTAGTTATTTAAAAACATCATTGTCCATACATGAAGTTTTTAAGAAAGCAAAGGTAATTGGGGGAAAAAAGTAAAATACATACAAATTGCAACTAGATTATATACTTATAAATAAAGGCTGGAAAGAGAATAGTGTCTTAGGTAAAGAAATCATTTAAAATATTTTATTCTTTGAGACTAGAAACAATGATGCCTTATCAGCAATGACCATACATAGTGTCCCATTCTATATACCATTCTCCAATAAAAGGAACCAGGGAGAAATGTATTTTAAGATTATGGTAGGGAAGATACAAAATGAGCCTAAAACATTATCTCGMAGGACCAGAAAAACAAGCAGGTGCCTAAAAATAACTTGATGAGAACACCCTGAAAGAATATAGGAACTACCCCACTAGAGCTCCTAATAGCCAAAACTRTGACAATATGAGCAACATAATAAATGATAAAATACTGGATTGTAACACACAGGCTAAATAAAATAAAAATTTGAATAAATAAATGGAGATTCTTCTTCCTAGTAATAGAATTCCAAACACTAAAYAAAATGAATGATGAGAATAGAAAAATCATCATTGAACAAATGCAACAGAATTATAGTCACAGGCAAGAACYACTGATACATGCTAAAATCAGGAATAAGGTACTTATTTTCTCCTACTATCTCTTAGTAGGAGAAACAGGATATTTGCAGAATCTCAAAGTATCTCCCCACAAGATACATATTAATTGCAAATGAAAAAAATAGTAGGTTTAYAGTGGAGGAGGCTTCAGAGTAACTATGAGAGAACTGCAGACTAGTCCAAATTAAAGRACAATCTAAACATTCAGGACCAGCACTCTTCAGGAAAGTCAAGATTCTTCATTTTCTTTTTCTTTTGCAGTGCTGAGAATCAAACCCAGGGCCTTGAACATGCTGGACACATGCTCTACCACTGAGCCATATTCCTACTACTGAAGTGTCAAGATTTTGAAAAACAAAAGGTACTAAGGCAATTGGAGRAGATTTAAAAGACAGAAAAAAATATAGACTAATAAAATTATTGTGTGTGATCCTGGATTGAGTCATAGACTAAAATAAGAAAAAAAAAGAGGCATTGGAAAGATAACTGGCAAAATTTGAAACAGCATATAGATTAGTTGGTGAGATTGTACTGATGTAAATTTCCTGGTTTCAATAATGGTACTGTGACAGATGTTAACATTAGGTAGCTGGATAAGGGTAATGAAGGGTATCATAGAAACTCTGTACTACATAAATTTTCTGTAAGTCTAAAATAATTTTAAAATAAAAAGTTTAAAAATTACTTTAATGCTTTTGCCTACGTTTTATTGTTTATATGATCAACTCTATTAACTAAGTTATAAAAACAAAAGTTCGGAGCAAATAAAATAAAATGTGCTGAAAATAGTAACACCATATGATCCAGCAATTCTACTGTTGTTTTATACCCAAAACATTTAAAACAAGGACTGTCTGCATCCATGAACACAAAGTAAGTCACAGAGGCCAAAAGATGAAAGCAATCCAAATATCCACCAATAGATAAATTGATAAACAAAGTGCAGTGTGTGTGTGTGTGTGTGTGTGTGTGTGTGTGTACACATACATACATACACACACATTGGAATACTTTTCAGCCTTAAAAAGAAAATAAATTGTGACATGCTACAAACATGGATGAATCTTGAGGTATTATACTAAGTGAATAAACTTACATAAAAATTAAACTTAGATTAAAAAAAATCATTATTTAACAAGTAGACATAGGAAATCTACAAAATACTGTATGATTTTACATATCTAAGGTACCTAGAATGGTCAAATTCATAGAAAGTAGTACAGTGGTACCCAGGGACTTGGGGGAGAAAGGAATGGAGAATTAGTATTTAATGGGTACAGAATTTCTGTATATGGGATGATAAAAAAGTTCTGGAGATGAAGAGTAATAATAGTTTGCACAACAATATGAATGTATTTAATGCCACTAAACTGGTTAAAATGATACATTTTATGTTTCATATATTTTTGCCTTCTAATAATGTTAAGACAGCAAAATAAAGGTATGCACTGAAAATCAACATAACCAAGAAATTTAAACTCTTTAAAGCATAGTGGCTATAAATACCACCTAGTGGTCACATTTAAAACACCAAATTTCATTAGTTCACTCATTGCTTTTTCTCAATTATCTTATGCTAGTTGATTGAATTAGCACCTTCTCCAAACATATGTGATGGGGTTAGCATCTCTAAATTTCACCTGTGATGGAACTAGTTTCCTTCCCCAAAGGCTGCACAAGTGCAGTTTCTAAGCCCTCTATTTACGTGATACACAGAGGAGTTCCTTGCCAATAAGAAGGACCTATCTGTCCCTAACAATGAAGGTGCAGGGAGTGACTAGGTACTTAATGATGACTGAGATGAATAAGATCTTTAAATTTCTCAACCATTTTGCATTATCATGTTAGAAAATAATTTCCAGCCAGGTGCAGTGACACATACCTGTAACTCTAGCATCTGAGGCTGAGGCAGGAGGATCACAAGTTCAAGGCTAGCCTTAGCAACTCAGTGAGACCCTAAGCAACTCAGTGAGATCCTGTCTCAAAATAAAAAATAAAAAAGGCTGGGACTACAGATCAGTGGTAAAGCACCCCTGGGTTCAATCCCGTGATTTAAAAAAAAARAAAGAAAGAAAAAAAAAATTTCCCCTCTCACATTCAAATTTGAGTATGAAAGCATATTTTAAGGCTATGCAAAAACAACTACTATCTTTTTGACAGCAAAAACAACTACTATCTTTCCTTAACAACAGTGAGAGGACTGGGGCTGTAGCTCGATGGTAGAGCACTTGCCTAGCATGTGTGAGGCCCTGGGTTCGATCCTCAGCACCACATAAAAATAAATAAATAGAATAAAGGTATTGTGAAAAAAAATCTTAAAAAAATAATAATAGTGATACCAATCACAAAGCCAGAACTTTCACAATACACACACAGTAGAATGTGCTTCTATACATAGATAAAAATTTATTATTTAATAAGTAAACATAAGAAATTTACAAAAGGTCATGGGAATAAAGATGACAGCTTTAATTTAAAAAAATACAAATGTTATATAATTTATACTTAATTGAAAATGCTAGGTATCAATTGTTTTTCAGAAATATTCTTTTAAATATTAATGTTAGAAGCTTAAAAAAGTTTAATAGGTGATTTCTGTTAGAATGCTTCTCCGTTAACCAACATACTTTTAGCCAAAATTAAGATTTATATTTTTCAAAGAATTTACCTTCTTCCAGCTTTTTCTTCAGTTCTTCTATTTCTTTCTGAAACTGGCGAAGCAGAGCATCCTTTGGATCTTCATTAATTCTAGCTTTATTTTTAATATTCTTAGCACGGTTGGCGTACCGTAATGTACTAATAGTTTCATCATAATTATAATCTGATGGCCCAATATTCGCACACTGTTGAATTAGAAATGCAAATCATTTTACACTACCATTAATTAATAGTACAACTACAAATATATCAGAATAGATGTCTGAAGTACATAGGCACTTTGACCTTCTTAAAAAAGAAAGTGTCAATTATATGGGTTTCCAAGTGATACTACTTCAAACTAATACACATGATATATTACAAAAAGGATAATCAAAAATCAAAGAAGTAAAATAGTTAGTTTTTTAAAAATGAATATATCCTTTTTTTTATGTATTTATTTTTTTATGGTGCTGAGGTTGAACCCAGTGTCTCACATGTGAGAAGTAAGTGCTCTACCACTGAGCTATAGCCCCAGTCCATAATAGTCAATTTTAAAAATGTTTTTTATATTACTTATGGACAAGTTAGAATCTTATATTTGCTGGATGTTAAYGATACCACAAATGAAGTCTTACCATCATGGTTTTTGAGTTTCCTCCTAAAGAATCCTGAAGAAGACGAGTCAATTTAGAGTTACGATAAGGCACATGAGTGCTTTTTCCATCAACCAAGGCAGAAATTACATTACCAAGGGTGGAAAGTGAAAGATTGATTTTTGTAGCTTCCTTCAGGCGCTGTCCAGTAGCTCCAGTTTTTGCTTGTCTTTCTGAGCCCTAGTAATATACAGAGACAAAACTCAAGCTAAAATTATAATAATAATACAGAATATTCTTTTTAAGGATTTTTTTAAAACGCAATTTAACAGTAATATACCTTATATAACACCCGAGATTCACTTCAAAATAATTAAGGAAAGGAAAAAGTGAGCAAGAACAGATGAAACAAGACTGGCCACGAGTTGATAACTGTTAAAGTTGGGTGACAGGAACATAAGGAATAATTATGCTAGTCTACTTTCACATACATTTGAAATACTCCATAATAAGTAGTAAGTTAAACAAGTCACAATTTTAAAATCTCATGTAAATCACACCTTTCCACATTAATTCTTATTTATGAGATAAATGTAAGTCATAGTAAGAGTTATTCCTTAAGTAGGATCCTGTTACTTACAGCAAGATCTACAAGATGAAGCTTCCCCATCCTGACATGCATATTACCATCGACACCTTTTTCACTGCACTCTATAGTAATTGTAAAGATGGCATGCGAACGGGAACTATGTTCATTCATATTAGTTGCACCAACAGAACCTTTAATAAAGGAAGGAAATCCTTAAAAACTGTAACAGAGAGTATGTACAGTAATAATTAAATACCCAGAATAGTTCAAAATACTTAATGTCATTATAATAAAAGCCAGAGAACATGGCTAGACCATAAAAGTAAAGGTGTGCATTTAGCCATTATATGAAGTTTCCCTTACATTTTTTTTTTTTTTTTTTTTGGTGGTGGTGGGGATTGAACCCAGGGCCTTGTGCATTCAAGGCAAGCACTCTACCAACTGAGCTATAGCCCATTCCTCTCTTACAATTTTTGTTGAAATAAATAATTTACAAAGCCAGACAGGGTGGTGTGGTGCCTATATAATCTCAAGTACTTGGGAGGTTAAGAGAGGAGGATCCCTGATACCAGTAGTTTAAGACCAGCCTAGGCAATATAGTGAGAACCCCCTTCCTCCCACTCTTAAAAAAAAATTACACATAAAGAAGAAAAGTGTTAAATAACTGGAACAATTATTGCTGATTCAGCTCTCTCTAAAGATAATTATGTTCTAGCAAACTAAACCATGGAAATTCTTGCAAATATGTTTTAGGAATATATAGTGTAACATTGTTTGCAACAACGAAAGACCAGAAACAACAAATAGGATAATGGCTAATCAATTATAGAATAGTCGTACTTTGGACAACTAAGCAGTCATTAAAAAAAAAAAATAGGCAGAACTGTATCCAACGATGTGAAAGATGCCCACAGCATTTAAATTAGGGTTTGGATCGTATCCAGGATTGAATCCAGGGGCACTTAACATTAAGCCACATCCCCAGTCCTTTCATTTTTTCCATTTTTAAAAAAAAAAATTATTATTTATTTTTATTTTGAGACAGGGTCTCACTAAGTTGCTTAGGGCCTCACTAAATTGCTGATGCTGAGTTGAAACTTGTCTTGCCTCAGCCTCCCAAACTGCTGGGATTACAGGTATGCACCACCATGCCCAGCTAGCATCTGACTTTTTAAAAGTCAAGTAAGAGAGGAATATATAGTTTGATCCCATTTATATGAAGCAAAACCAAAAGCATCCGCTTAAAATATACAAAATATTCATGTACTTGTACATTTTTACATGAATATATTGCATAAACATGCTTTTTTTTACAATAGTCACGTGCTAATTTTTTTCTTAAATTCCAAAGTATTTTAAAGCATTAATTTCTATCTTCCTACTATTTATGCAGAACTTCTCTGTGCAAACATTGATTTTAGAAATGAGACATTAAAAGAGTATATTAGCGTGTGGCTATATTAGAAGTCATATAACTGGAATGTAAACTGCATTGATAAAGTCCAATGAAAGAAAGTAMATGAAAAATCAGTGAAAGAACAAAGAAATAATTTATATGAAGAATAGATAGAATTAATCAAAGAAAACACAGGGATCTGCGATTCTATGTTTTTCTATTTTCTTTTAAATTAAAATATGAATTTTCTCAAAAAATACAACCATTAAATTTGATACCACTTTTCAAAAATCATCTAATCAGTCAGTAGCAATATACAACCTTCTACAGTGTGTTAGGTTTCACTTTATCTTGTTTTTCCCTCACTTAACATTATCTCTTATGTATATAGTATTTTTGTACCATAATTATAAAAAAATAGTGATTTATTGATGGTTAGATTGTTTACATCTAAAAATATTTTTCTAGACTATATATCAAGAGTTAGAAATACTAGATCAAAATGAACATTTTTTTTAAATGTCAACAGATATTGTTAATATTGTCCTTCAAAAATGCCATATCAATTTCCACTCCCACCCCAGTGCCCATTTCTTCAAAGCATAAAATAATCTGGAGCGAGGAGAAGTGACACATGCCTATAATCCCAGTGGCTCCGGAGGCCGAGGACGGCAAGTTCCAAGCCAGCCTCAGCAACTTATCGAAGACCTAAGTAACTTAACAAGACTCTGTCTCAAAATAATAAGGATTGAGAATGTTGTTTAGTGGTTAGGTGTCACTGAGTTCAATCTCCTGCTACCTGCCCCCTGCCAAAAGCATATCTCTTATTATTGTTTTAATCTGCATTATCCTAATTACTTATGAAGTAATTTCATGTGATCRTTGCTCTGTATGATTTTTCTGTGAATAACACATTATCTTTTGCTCATCTTTCTGTTGAGATTTTGTCATTTTCTTATTGATAATTTTTCTGTTTATGTATAAAAATTGAATAATGTTTAATATCTTTGTGTTTGCTAGGTCTATAGTCAAGACACAAAAACTTAATATTTTCACTTTCTATGTTCTTGTCATTTATTTCTAACTTCTAATTGCTTTTGGTAACATCACTAGTACTAGGCTTTGGGCACCTATATTTTAAATATTGCTGAAGTTTCTTATTCTTTAGATTAAAAACATAAAACAACTACTAAGATAAATGTAATTTTGATAAGATTTTGTTTTGCTTTCCTTTTCAACAAAACGGAAGCAGTATAGTGCCTGGTTAATACTAATAGCCTACATTCAAATACTCATTCTGCCACTTAGGAACTATACTACCATAGAAAAGTTACTTAAACTAAGCCTCAGTTGGTCATTCAAAAAGTAGGACTTTAGTATCTCCACAGACTACAGTGAGGATTAAGAGATCATCTTCATGAAGCACTGAGCACAAGTGCTTCCCACTTATTAAGTGCTCAAAAAATGCTCTCAATATTTAGTGTAACTAATAAAAAACAATTATATGAGAGTTTCAAAGATTAGCACAATTAAAAAGAAAAATTTTGGTCAGCATGGAAAACAATCTGATATCTTTCATTCATTTATATTCTCTACAGAGTAATCATCAAAGGGAAAGAATTTTCAAGAAACCTTAAAGTTCAGTCTCTATAGAGCAAAGAATCACACTGTTTTTGTCTCTCAACCAATCTGTTCAACACGTAGACATTTAATCACAATTATGCACTATACTTACGATTTTTATGGCCTAGTGTCATAATTCTATCCATATCATCAGCATTATTTACCACATAAGCTGATAAATCTTTGATATAAACTCCCACATCAGGCCTTTCTTTAACCTAAAAAAAAAAAGTAAGACTTTACTTACATTTATCATAATAATTCTTCCACAATTTGTTATTTATCATTTGACTTTCAAAAAAAAAAAACTATGGTAGAGGACATGTACACTTCTAATCTGGCAAACTAAAATCTTTGTAAAATACAAAAATACTTGGATGCAATGGCAATGTCAAATTGCTATGGAAGTTTTTAAGCACTTTCTGTGTTCACATTACTGCCAACTGGAAACATTCTTCAAGTTCACATCTGTTCGTGAACTATTGGTCTTCATGAACTTTAAGGTCTTTTCCAATCACATATTAATTCAAAATTCAATTAATAACTGATTAGCTATGAAAGATGAAGAAATAAAATACAACCTCGAATTTGTTAAAGTTAAAAACTGAGAATTTGTTAAGGTTTTAAAAATATGCTTAATATGCATAAGGCCTTGGGTTCTATTCCCAGCACCAAAAAAAAATTTTTTTTTAATGTCAGGAGCTGTCCATGGGTTGCATGTGAGTCACCACGCATAGAAGCCTCATGGTAGAGACATCTGGTGTCTGGGAATGACCAGTGGACATTCTTCTGGTCAATTACCCAGGGACAATGTGAATCTCTATCTGGCTCTGCAATGACCCACCACAGCACCTGAGATGAGTGTGACCTGCGAAGACGTCAATCAACCTGCTGACTGCAAGATATCACCAAGCAAGACTCCGCCCTTGAAACTTTATCCCTGCTTTTGATGTACCCCCTAAAATAAACCACCAGAGCCATTTTTATCATGTCTAGTTCCAGAACCCATGAGCACTAGATCTATCAAGGGCTTTACTTTCTGTAAATATATTTCTGAGTATTTGTGCTTTGTTATTCACTAATTATTTGAGATTGATTATAAATCTTAGGGTGGCTAGGATTATCCTGGGCAGGAAGAAGAACCCCTTAATGAGATGTTGGCCGTTATTCCCCTGATAATTTATCATAAAAAATTTAATTTCTATAACAATACAGTTATAGTGGGGGTGTTTATGGTTTACTTGAAACACAATTAGTATTTATAGGCAAGGAGCAAGGATACTAAACATTCTGAAATGGGTGGGAGGGCTCACCCAAAGAACAACTGTCCCATATAAATTTCAAAGTCCTAGTAGATATTTACATGGATTAAAAAACTATTCATAATTATCTGAGACTAAGATATAAAGACAAAGGTCTTTTCCATAATAGTAATAATAATAATATAAAAATACAGAAAAACTGAAGAAAGAATTGTACTTAATTTTTCTCAGAACTCTACCAAAAGCTAATCACTGTTTTAAAAGACCATGTCATTGACAATGACACCAATCAAGTGTTCCGGTTACTATTACAACATACCTGTATGTTATAATATTCTATATCTGTAGTTCTTGCAGTCATGGTGATTCTCCATGCCTCTAACTATTTCATTACATCCTCAACTGTGGTCCCCCATCCAAGCATTTCCACATTGAAGTACTAGCATTTTATTTTTAAATTACTGTTATTCTCCTTTTTATTACAGTAGGGCAGTATACTAACTTTTTAAAAATTATGTCTGTTGGTAGATTTTATCACCTGTGAATTTCATTTCAGGATAGTCAAAAGGGCATTACAAAATGTTATTTAAAAAAGAGCACAAGGTCTAACAGGGTTTAGAATCACTGGCAAGAATGTTCCTGAGAATAAATCTGATCTATAATTCAAAGTACAAAAACAGAAGTGTTCCTTCTAAATAATTTTTTCCCAAAAGTTTGAAAAATAAAACAACAAAGTTTTCAGAGGCAAAAACACTAAAAGATAAGAAAACTAAAGATGACAACTAGCAACAACAAAAAAATTGTTTCTACAATTTGCTATGTACATGTTATCATTACAGAATAGCCTTCATTATTCAACAAATAATTATTTTTTAATATTTTTAGTTGTAGATGAACACAATACCTTTATTTTACTTATTTATTTTTATGTGGTGCTGAGACTCAAACCTAATGCCTCACACATGCTAGGCAAGCTGAGCTACAACCCCAGCCCAACAAATAATTCTTAATGCTCCAATATGCTGTACCAAAACTCTATTTATATAAGCTTAAAATGAAAAATGCTAACAAATATTATTACGTGTCAGACACTGACTTAAACACTTTAATTTGTTAATGTTGGCATCAATCCTATGAAGTAGATCCTATTATTATTTCCATTTTCATGTGACAGAACTAAGACTCACAGAGGTTAAGTAATTTGATCAAGATCAAAGCTAGAATTCAAGCTAAGAGAGCAGGACCCCAGAAACCATCCTCTTAATCCTAAGTGATATTACAATTCACTTGCTACATGACCTTGAGCAATGGATGAAACCCCTGTAAATTTCAGTTACCACATCAGGAAAAGTAAACTGTTGGGAAGATTAAATGAAATGAAATATCACTACTACCAACTGCCATTGACTACATCAAATGTCTACACAATTGGAAAGGCTCAGTAATGATGGCTGCTGCTATGCTGCATATATTCTTCACCATCCTACAATGGCAGCTATTGTAATTCTACCCCATTCTACTGTTATTCTGCATATGTTATTCACCTCTATTTTACTGAAAATGCAAKTTCAACACAAAATTTTAATATTAATATTTAAAGGCTATTCTTTCCTTGTTATTTGTCTCATATTTTACAGGGTTAAAAATTTGACAGTACTTAACAAACTGACATCATTTACTACTTGACTCACAAATCTTGCTTCAGTAACTCCCCATCTCCTTTGTCTAAATTTAATAAGAAACAAATGTACAAGGTTATTTAAAACCTTAAAAGTATTTTTTATACAAAAAGGTTCTTAATTTAGTAAATATTCTATTGCTTTGGAAAGTATTCCAATTTCAGTTACCCTTACCTCTAATCTCTGTGTCTGATCCTTGCCCAAAAGGTCACGAACTTCTTCATTATATATTTCCAAATATGACACTCGAACCAAAAATCTATAAATAAAATATTTTAAGCACATAAAAAGCAGTGATATGTTTATGGGACCCGTTTTAAAATGAGTTCATAACTGCAAAACTTTCTTGTGTTTGTATTTCTTATTAATAGAAAATAAAAGAATTCCCTTTTACCTTGTATCACCCTCTGCCTTTGCAATATGACCAAATATGTGAGCAAATGAATTGGGAATGATTCCTCTAAGTTCAGGAACAGCTCGAACACCTTCCATGGTAAAAGTTTTGCCTGTTCCAGTTTGTCCATATGCAAAAATAGTTCCTGAAAATGATCAAGATAATCAGCCACTTTTTACAGCCTGATGTGACAGAACAATAACTCTTAAAATTAATTCCTTTGATATTGTGATGTAATTTCTTCCCTGAATTCAAAATTTGCTCTAGTACAGATTCCATCTTTATTATCAACATGTACAATATGAACTCCGTACCACATAAATAAAACACTGCTAAAGCACTAGTCAATAAGATATTACTAATTAATAAAAAAATCTTAAACCCCAAATGCAAGAATCTTATTCTTAATTATAAGAAATTTCTTTTAATATGTATTATTTATTGTAGACATTAAATTGYAGAAGGCAGCAGAAGAACACAGGATCTGGAGCAAAAAGACTTCAATGTGAATCCATATCTGCCCATTTTTAGCTACTTGACCTTGGACAATTTATCTACCCAGAGATTGTCTCCCTGATGGTAAAACAGGGTTAAGAATATTCTATATTGATAGTTAAGAATAAAATGAAACAATTTAATTCAAATAACCAGGCTGGGGTTGTAGCTCAGTGGTAGAGCACTTGCCTAGCATGTGTGAGGCACTGGGTTCGATTCTCAGCACCACATATAAAACAAATAAATCAATTAAAGTCCATCAATAACTAATAAAAATATTTTAAAAAACACAAATAACCAACCCTGTGCCTGGTAGAGAGTACCAGTAAATGGTGGAGGTTTTTCCCCTTATTAATCTTAAATAAATTCATTTTTTAAAAATTGTTTTAAAGTAACATTTATAAGAAATACGGGGTGTTAACTAAAAAGTGACAATGCAATTCTTACAGATTAACTAGAGACACAACTTAAAACCTTCCAAATACCTAAACTTTTTCATCCCACAAATATTTATAACACACCTGAGTGTGGCATTGTGCTAGGCACCAGGGCCAGAGTCACAAACAAGACTAATAAAATCCTTAATCTTAAACTGCTTATAATCTTAGGGAAAAGATACTGGCAAAACAATTTTTAGCCTGATGAGTACTGAGAAAACTGTTCCAGATGAGAGTAGGATATAAACCAAACCAGGGAATGGATAGGAGTAGCGGTCAGAAAAGGCTTTCCAGAAGAGGTACGATTTAAGATAAGATCTGAAACACAAATGAGATGGGAATAGAGTAGAAGAGGCAAAAGGGAAGAAAGAGAATGGAGGTTTTCAGACACTGAAATGAGATCAGAAAGCAAGAAACATGTAAAATGTAAGGTAGATACATAGAGAGCAAGAGAAACTAAACTAGTAATGTTCTAATCACACAGGGTCATGAAAACTGTATTAAAGTTTTTAGGCCTTATCCTGAAGCAGAGTGAAGCCATAGAATGATTTTTCTATGGTTATATTGTGGACAGTTGGAATAAAGCAACGGTAGACATAGAGAAACCAGTTAGAGAGCTGGAGTCAGGAGATGATATGGCATGAGAAGATAGACTAGGATGTACAGCATAAATGAAAAAAAGTTCCTTAACTATGAATACTCTATTTAGTTAACCTCAAAGGACACCATCATTTTCAGACATTTTAAAAAATAAATCAATCACACCAGAAATAATTTTTTACACATTGGAATATAAAGTCTCAGTTTTTTCAAACTGGCTATTTCAAATTCTGCCATTAGGAATGTAACTTATTACATTCAAAGGATCTGAAAATATTGTAACCCTTATAGAGACACAATGAATTACTAAATAATAAGCTCTATCATGATATAGCTACTATTTACTGATCATTTCCTATGTACTAGGCCATGCACTTTACATGCAATGATATTTCTTTTTTTTACCCCAATCCTAAGGGATAGACACTATTGTATTCACATAATTTATTTAGGGAAATAGAGGCTTAAGTTTAGTAATTTGGTCAATGTCATAAATGCAGAGACAAGGTGTGAACATAGTCCATCTGGCTACAGAGCCCATATTTTTTCAACAGTATGCAATGGCCAAAATTTTTTTAACTCAAAATTAGTTCCTATTTCAATTTCTGTGATTGCATTAAATACTTAAAATTTACTAATTAAAAAAAACTATTAATCTATACTTTTTACACCTGAGAAAAGAAGATCATGGATTTCCTATAATAAGAGAATCTCATCTCAATTTTAGAGAGTCAGAATTTCTGGTTTTAAAATGTCAAACTTAAACAATTCTAATGGCATATAGTTTCCTTCAACATGAATCTCTTAAAACTTTACTTGTTAATATCGAAAACTATGCTCAGGAGGCTGAGGTAGGAGGATCACAAGCTCAAAGTCAGCCTAGGCAACATTAGTAAGACCTTGTCTCAAAGAAAGAAAAGAGGAAAAGCCAAGTATGGTGGCACATGTATCAATAAACCCAGGAGGCTGAAGCAGGATTGTGAGTTCAGGGCAGCCTAGGCAACTTAGCAAAACCCTATTTCAAAATAAAAAATGAAAAGGGTAGATGATTGGTAGAACACTCCTAGGTTCAATCTGTAGCACCGCAAAAAACAAAACAAAAAAACTAAAACTGGATTGAGGTTTTTACTCAGTCTTCTCATTACCGTCACATATTAAAAATGGTAAAAGATCCACATAAAAACATGAACATTAATGTTCGTGGCAGCTTTATTCATAATTGCTAAAACTTGAAAGAAACCAACATATCTTCAGTAGGCATAAGGATATAATACCATCCAGACAATGAATTATTATTTATCACTAAAAAAATGAGTTATTATCAAACCATAAAAGAGAGTATGGAAACTTAAAAGCATATTACTAAGTAAAAGAAATGACTATATACTATATGATTACAATTTTATCTCATTCTGAAAAATACAAAAGTATAGAGGCAGTAAAACAATCAGTGGCTGCCAAGGTTAAAAGGGAGGGTGGGATGAACAGAATTTTTAGGGTGATGAAACTACTATGCAAAAAACAAGGGTAGGTAGATATTAGCATTAATTTATCTAAACCATAGAATATACAACAGGGAACCCTAATATGAGCTATGGAGTTTGGATATAATGATGTTTTGACACAGGCTCATCATTTTAACACATATGCCAACCTGGAAGGGGATAATCGATTAAGAAGGAGACTGTGAATGTATGGGGATGAGAGTTATATGGAAACTCTCTACTTTTTGCTGGGAATTTGCTATGAAATTAAAAACACTTAAAATAAAATTTATTAATTTCTTTAAATTGTTTTATTTATTTATTTTGTTTTATTTATTTATTTTGGGACTCATTATGTTGTCCAAGCTGGTCTCAAATTCCTAGGCTCAAGTAATCCTCACATCCCACCCTCCACAGTGGCTGTGATTACAGAGTCATGCCACTGTCCCTGGACAAAATTATTTTAAAATGGTAAAAAGATTATATACTTTTCATTGAGAATCCAAGAAGTTATAGCTAAATCATATTTCAATAATGGAGAGTACACTGCATTACATATTATTTTGGTCCTTTTTTATGTTTTCTCTTGTTAATGACAATTTTCAGTCAGACATTGAAAAGTAGGTATAAACTCTTGATAGTYGAATACTATTCTCTCTATATATTTATTTTTAAAACACATAATTCTGTTATTTCAAAATTAAACTAGTGATATTTCAGTTTCCAACCAAGATAAACAAGGACTAAATTAACCTACCTTCTTGGCTAAAACTAAAAGTATATAAAAGTACACAAAATCAGTTTAATTTTTTATACAATACCTTTATTCTTATTTTTATTATTTTTTTATGTGGTGCTGAGGATCGAACCCAGTGCCTCTCACATGCTAAGCAAGCATTCTATCACTGAGCTACAAACACAGCCCCCAAACCACAGTTTTAAAAACAATGAACATTCATAAACAAAGGACTGTGATTTCTAAAAAATGAGACACAAATGAGGTGGGTCTCTTGATTTCCCATCTTACTGCCTTAAGAGAAAATCCAAGCCATGGAGCAGGAGGGAGAACTCAGAGACCAGAAGATACCCTGAGCTAAGAAGAAGGTGCTGAGAAGCTACAAAGCAAGTCCAAAGAGGCAAGAGTTTGGAGGACACAGTACCAGAGAAGAGAGAACTGAATAGAGTGAGCTCTGTACATCTGCCCAGGGTCCTCCGCAAGTACTCTGCTGAAACTGATAGGCTTATATGAGGAAACTATCTAAATAGGGGGGATGGGAGAATCAGCTAGACAGATTGTAAAAAAGAATACTCAGCATTCACACAGGCCAGGAATAGTATCTATTTCCACAGGCAGACTGGAAAAGCCCATGACAGGACACTAGGTACAAGTATGCAAAAGGGTCTTTGCCTCAATGAGGAACAGTTAACCTCAGATTAAACACTGCTCTGATACTTACTAACAAGTGTTAAAAGAGTGATCTGAATGAATCAAATTGTTTTCAAGTCACTCAAAACTCATAAATATTTATAGGAATAAAAAAAATCCAAGACCCAAGGTAAATTCAGAATGTCTTGAATCCAACCAGAAATTGCCAACTTTGCAAAAAAGCAAAACTATATTAGCCATAATGAAGAAATGAATCCATCAATTAAAACTAACACATGGGGTTGGGGTTGTAGCTCAGAGGTAGAGTGTTTGCCTCGAACTTGTGAAACATTGGGTTCTATCCTCAGCACACATAAAAATAAAATAAACAAAATAAAGGTATTGTTTCCATCTACAACTAAAAGAGATTTTTTTAAAAAAACTAATGCATAAATGATACAGATRTGAGAATTAGCAGACAAGTACATTCAAATAGTTATAAAAATTGTATTTCATAGGTTAATAGGCCAAGTAGAAACATGGATGGAAAACATAAAGTCCAAATGAAACTTCTAGAGATGAAACCTACAATGTGTGAAATGAAAAATACAATAAACAGTATTAATAGCAGATTAGGTACTATAGAAGAAAAGACTGGTAAACTAGGAAACACACTAACAGAAACAACCCAGAGAGAAAACAGGGAAAAAAAAGAGAGAGAGAATATTAGTGAGCTGTGCTATAATTTCTAACAGCCTACTTT